CGACCGGTCGGGTCCCCAAAGATGTCACGTAGCTTCTCCTTGAACGTGTCCCAGCTGGTGAGTTCGGACTCATTTGTCTCGTACCAGACACGCGGGGTTCCGTCCAAGTAGAAGAGAACATTAGCGAGCATCATGGTAGGGTCCCAACGGTGAGTTTGACTGACCCGTTCATAAAGGCGAAGCCATTTGTCGACGTCGAGGCCAGGTTGCGCAGAAAATGTCCCGGGATCACGTGGTGTTTGGACGGCGACAAAGGTTGTCGGAGAAGCCGCAGATGATGAAGCGGACGCGTTGTCACTGGAAGCCATGGCGGGAAGCTGGAGGATGCGGCCACTGCGGAGCTGCGTGGTGAGGACGGGGATCGTTCCACCTCCACCAAATATGTTACGTGAGTAACGAGACAAAGTATTGCGAATATATTCGAAAAATATATTTGCAAGAGCGGTTGCAGCACTGGCCAGTCTGGCTCCGAGCTCGAGCAGCCAGCGAGCCTCATCTTCTTCGTCGGGCGCACACGCGCATTCGCACTATGGTTTGTGGCAGCCTACAGGTAGCAATATCATTCTCAAAAATATGGGGTTTGGTCCATTTCTCAGAGCAGCCAAGCATGAAAAAATTGCTTTGAAGTGTTCAGTGTGCTCGTACATGTATCCTCACTGATTTTTCTGTAATGCGCTCGCCGGCGAGGCAGTCAATGCGTACACGTTAACATTGCACATACATACAATCCATCGTTGTTGTAGCTGTACAAGCAAGATGGTAACTGAAGCTAGAAATGCCACTTTCGTGTGCTCTTCAGATTATTTAGTGTAACAGCCCATGGGACTACAATACCAATAATTTGAGAGAAAATGCCCTTTACCGTAATATAATAATTGCTGAAGCTACATTTACGTGGTTTCGCAACACCACAAACCACTGGCAATATCACATGAAAAAAAAAAAGGAGAACATCTGAGTGGAGTGCAAACCTAATTGAACACACCTTGTTGACTTTGTATAAAATACAATACGTTGTAAACATACAATAAATGCTACAACATCATTTAGACCACCTGTAGCATAAACATATAGACATAGCACTTTTCCTATGAGCAAGCATTGCCTGCACAAAACCAATGTTGACTACATAAGCATCACCAAGCAATAACTATAATTAAATGTGCCCACCCATGCATAATAACAATGTAACAGCTGCAGTGAATATAAGGGTGCCCTACTTTTAACTGTCAGTGCCAAAGGGCCTAAGCTATTAAAGGGGCACTAACACAATAATTTTAGGCTTGCGTTTTTTGCTGCAATGTCTTCCATCGTTTTCTCCAGTGCGTGGCAGATAATCAATTACAGACCCATTATTACCGACCAGTGTCAGTTTAAGTTTCAAAAATGACAAGCCACAGGGTGCAACTATCACGATCTAGCGGGTGCAATGCTTGACCATGTCAGCATTCAGAACTGTGGAACACTTCTGGGCGGTTCACATCTAGAAGTTTTTTCGAACAGCAAACAGGACAGCAATGTCATCGAACAGAAAACTTTCAACTCTTGCGCTGTGACCACAGACTCGCGAGCAGCTGCCGAGTAATAGTCTGCTGGGGAAAACATGACCTAAGAAAAACAGCGACTATGACGCACAGCCAGCGATCGCTGCTGCAAACTTCAAAATACCTTTAAAATACCTTCAAAGCTATATATGATGCTGACATATTGCAGAAGATACACACATGTTCATGGGAATTGATCCCGCAGGCTATCTCGGCCACGAAATTTTGTGTCAGTACTCCTTTGAAGTAAATACAGCACTAGTGATTGTATTTGATCAGCATGCTATAAAAGAGGCATTCTCGATAGTTATTTACTACGAGACTAACATAAAATGCCTGCACTTCAAGATTTAATAAAGAAAGATGAAAGAATTGAATTGGGCATCAAACTAGGCCCATAAAAAACAAAAAAAATTACTACAGTTATGCTAACAAACAGCTTCTTTGATTTAAAACAGTAGAAGAAAGGATGTTGAAAAATGACTTCTTTACACTGAAGCTATAAGGTAAATGCTGAATAATGCTGACATAACAAACTATGTATAAAATCTCGGGGTAAGAATAAAATGGAACAAAAGTAGAAACATGAAACATCTGCTATATACTCTGGCATTAATATTATATTTCACGAATTCAAATCAATAAAAATATAAAGAAAGCTTTTCTAATAACATGGTGGATATTGCCTACCATGCACACTTGCCTACTACGCAATGAGTTAATGCTTTGCATTGTGGCAGCTCTGCAGAGCACCCGACCCGGGGCCCCTGCATTTGTTTCAAGATTGATCTCTAAACTGTTCTAATGCTCTGCCTTATGGGACAAGTTTCCTAATAAGCCGAAAAGTGGGCACCTCAGACTAGCTGCTTACTTCAGAGCAGATGAGGCTATAATGACTCAGGTGCTACAGCAGACAGGACCATGCAAAACAGACAAGAAACAATACAGTGTACAGTGACTTTGATTCCTGAGTGTACCCATCCATTCATAGAATGTTACCAACTTTTATCAATCAACTGGAAATAATTTTCGGAAGCTTACATTGTACAGTGTGACACACACACACACACACAAAAAAAGTAGGTTCATAAGCCTGAATACTGCTGGTTAATGACTTCAGGAAGGAACCTTTGAAGATCAGCACATTACCTGAAGTGCGCAGCGTTCAGTGAGCTCTTGTAATTCGTGCTAGAAGGAGCTAGTTGTAACACACACTAGCAAGACAATCTTGCAGATGGCCATCAATGTGGCACTACTGAGCGAGTGAGTTTGAAGAATCTCCTGACCTAACTGCGTGCTAATCCACACCAAATATCACCAAGCAGCACGAATAGGGATGACAACTCTCGACACGCGCTGTTTGACACTGCGTTTGGATGGAACAGACAAAAATATTTGCAATGAATCCCAACACGAGCCAAAGGCTCGACTTGAACCTTCACTTAATAATGGTTTCAACATTTAGGCCTCATGTACGCAAACAGGTGTTTTCAAAACTGCCAAGGTCTAACTACTAAAAACCCAGAGTAAACAGAAGCAGAAGACGCAGCTTGGTGCATAAGCAAACAATACTTCGCAGCTCATACACCATGTACACACATAAGGCAGCAAAGACAATAATGAAAATAAAACAAACACATCCGGCCCCATAGAACGCACGTGTGGACCATCTCTAACAAACAGTAGTAGCAAACTACTGCTGTACAGTGGATATACTTATACATGAATAAAAGAAAACAGGTACCTAAACGAAGGTGTTACCAGCTACATTCTGGTTGCTTGATGGTTCAAGTCGGGTGAAAACAACACGTAAAATGAAAATGCACTCCACATGAAGTGCTATGTGCACCATTGTCTTAACAGCCTTCTGTTATGCAAAGCAGCGCCTTAAATTCTGAGAGTTCACAGTGCCCTCCGTACGTAAAACACGTCAAGATTAAGCACCCTTGACCAGACGAGGAGCTGCACAAGTCAGTCAGCCAGTAATTACAACAGAAAGTGGCATAACTGTAAACCACGTTACAAAGACTTTGCTGTCAGGGGCAAATTATTGCATGCCAAGTCCTGTAATACATGTAAAGTAAAAATAAACATGATTACACAGCAGAACAAGTTTGAATTGAACATGTAATGTAAAACAAATGGATTCTCTAAGTATCAGTGTGTGTGGGCTGCAGCTGCTACAAGCGAAACAAACTCACTAATTTGCCACAATTCAGGATCAACTTTTGCCGTGGTACAAATTTGCACAATCTAGTGGTGCCAAACACATCCACATAACTTTCGTAACTGCTTGCACATGAGCGGAAAATGTGAATTGTTGGTTGATGGCAGAATCGCACAGCTTCTATAACATTACAACGAGCTAACATCTATCTCTTTTATAAGATTTATAAAGGATGCCTGGGACAGACATTTGTATTTTACACTGAGATACCTATTCATAACAAACATACATTTTTAATTACCGAAGAAGTGCTAAAATGGAAAGCTACTGTATTGCTTGGGTATTTTGATTATGAGTGGTACAAACAATAATAACAATATCTGCAATTTTTCATCCCAAAACCACAATACCATTATGAGGTACACTGTAGGGGAGGGCACTAGAAATTTGGCCAGACGATTTGCTTCAACGTGCTCTGACATCACAGTGCACATTATTAAACACAGGCCTCCAGTGAAAATGTGACTGCCATGACCGGCATCGAACCCGCAACGCTCAGGTCAGCAGCTGAACACCGTAATTGCTGCACCACAGCAGCGGACGTGGTGCAAAGAAATGCGAGGTATGATGTTGATATCATGCTCAAAATAACAAAAGAAGTAATGCATATTTTTCAATATTTTGACTGCACAATATGCTTTCGATAAAGTGCTGAACAAGCCTGCCTTTTCTTTAGGAAAAGAATTGTGTGGCGCTATAATATGGTCATCATGTTTAAGACCTATTTATAGAGACTACCGATGCTAGCAAATGCACAAATCTAAAGAAATATAAGAAATAAAAGGGTACAGGCGACAGGACGGATATACTACCACACATTCTTTCCTCCTTGTCTTTCAAACCAACGACGATCCACATCGCAGTAGGCTATGACAATGCATAAAACACGTATCTCCTTAGCTTGCCCTACACTGATTGAATTAGGAACAACGTTATGTTGGCACTCTGCTGTAAATATGGGGGGGGGGGGGGGGGGGGGTAAAATGATTTTAAAGCCGGTGCAAGTGCTGCTCTAACCCCCAGCAAATGCACTAGGCCATGAAACCTTCTTAATGAGCACCAGATCATCTTGTGAATATTAACTGAAAAAGACAAGATAATCACTGCGGACTTCCAAGTCTATTGATCCCTGTTTGACTCACGACATTAAAACTGACAAACTGGCCTGCCAATCATATAAGCAGTCTCCAAAAAAAAAAAAAAACATGAAAAAAACGAAAAAAAAAAAAACCCAGAGTGATGATACAGAACGAAACGCAATTTACAATACCACAGGCAATGCTCTATGCCAAACACTGAAGTTGAGCTAGAACCGCTAGACTGAGCAGTTGAGTCTGACAAAGAGGCAAAGGCAGTTCCTATGCCACGCAAAACAAGATGTGAAAATAATACTAATATATGGACAACTCTCAATCCACAAATGATGATGGTACTAAAATTTATCAACTGGATTTGTTAAGTGCTTCATATAAAGTAACATAACTATATATAATACATGTGAACCTTCTGTGCACTTCTTGGAGACCTGCATACAGAGCAAGCTTTCCTGAGCTACATGTTGGTGCTCTGTTTCCTGAGCTGCCTTATAACAATGCTAGTGCCTCAAGCCAGCTGCATAACGCTGTGGCAACGAGAAATACCTATATGACTACCTTATATGCATCACTTCTTAATTAAACAATAAAAATGGGACACCATAACTGGAGACGTCTGAAGGCTGAGGAGACAAGGCAGCCGTCAAAAAATTCACCTGAAGTGCTAGAAATCACATATAGTACAAGAAATCAGAAGTTTGTCAGTAACACACCTCTGCTTGCAGTTGCCCAACAACACATGATGGATCTGGGCATAATCTCTAAAAACAAACAAATGCTTCAAAGAGGAAAATCGTTTGCGGAGTAAAGAAAGTAAAAACATTTAACATTCAAACGTGAAACGTTAACATATGAACCCACATGCTATGCGAGTCTACTTGTTGTCTTCAGTTTCCAGCAAGGCCAGCCACACCACATTTTTTCAACTGAGTAGTACTACTACTAGCAATCCCTCCGAAGTGATAAGGTTCTGGAGGGATTGCCAGTAGCTGCAACAAAGGTTCGTCTGTAGGTTCGAAAACTCAAAACCAAGTGGCATAGCTGCGTTCGTTGGTGTTTGCACCTGCGATTGAGACATGTGTCTACAGTAAACTTGTTTTCAGCGAAAAATCGCGAACATTGGCTCTGGAAGTGGTCTACAGCCAGCAAATGCAAAATTTCCGTACCTTCTATGACTCAAAGTAAAGCCCTTCAAGCGGAGAACGTGGAGAACGGCGGTGTGTAGAGTGAGGTTGCAGCTGGCCCAGCCGAGCTGAGTCGAGACTTGGCGACTTCAAGACTGAGCCCTGAAGTGAGAATGGTGGACTGGGCGTGTTGGTTTAGCATGTCAGAAATGTAAAGCATGAGACAACGACAATCGACAGAAGGAGAGCACGCGCAAAGTGACGCTCTATGTGTGTGCACTCTACCTCTCTCCGCTGCCATTGTCGACCCTTAAACTTCAAATGTGCGAGCTCCAGAGGCGAGGGAGACGACAGGCGGTCAAGGCTCATCAAAAGACTGTGCCACCATCGGTCATGGGGTTCACCATGTAGTCAAGGTACTCCTGCACGATCTTGCCCACACTGTGGGGAAGAATACTGGAAAAGGCAAGAGAAATGGTAACGTTAGAGAGGTTGAGATATCAAAGCTCTAGTTTGTCAAATCGTACCTAAACAAAAGTTGGCCTTAATTGTGGAGTTGAGTCAAAACATTTATTTATTTATAGATACTGCGATCTTTCTTCAAGATCTTGGCAGCATGGTACATAACAGGTGAACACAACAGAAAAATAACAATGGGAAACAAACATATAAAAATACTTACTGACGCACTTTCAAGACAAAAAAAGACAAGCAACATTATTCTAATTCAAATTGCACAGAATATCCGTTAGCACAAGTAAAAAAGAAAGAAAAAAAAAACGCATGAAGCATCTCGGTTAGACACGGAAACTGATTTCTACTGAAGGTGTGACTACAATTGCGACAGTGAGCCCTGTGTAACAGTTTTATTGGGCAGTTTGTTCCACTCGACTATCGTTCTAGGAAAGAAAGAGTACTTGAAACAGTTGACACGTGTTGTAGTGAATGAAGTAACAGCTAGTGAGTGTGTGTGCCTGGTAGCATAATTTGGTGAATATGCATGGTGTGACGTGTCTATTTTGTACTGACCTTTTATTAACTGAAAAAAGAATTTTACACAACATACACGATTTCGATTACTTATAGTAGGTAGGCCACTTTGAGATACAAGGTTAGTGATTGATGTGCGGCCATACATATTGTAGATGAATCGAACAGCTTTTTACTGTAAGCTTTGAAAGTTTGCTATTCGGTTTTAGTGAACATCTCATTAGACGACGGCATATTCTAAAGCAGGACGTACGAGTGTTTTATATGCCAACAAACATACTGCTGGTGTTGACTATTTTATTACACACCTTAAAAAGAATAACTTACGTCTGCAATTTGCTAGCGCTTTGTCAAGGTGTTTTAACCACGAGAGATCACTTGCTATGTAGAGGTCCGATCCGTGCGCATTCATTATGGGAGAAAAAAAAAAACATTGAGCAACAAAAATGATTCTTCGCGCATTTTGCGGGCCAAAATAAGCAATACGGTCATGCAAAATTTTCACTGTTATAACTCCCATGACTTTCTTTCTCCTGTGCAATGAACCCTCTCCCCAAACTGACGTCAACTTTTCTGAAAAAAAAAAAAAAAAAGTGGGTTCGATACGCGAGTAAATGCGGTATATTAGCACTTCTTTTTTTAATGTTACCCGCATGTACACAGTCTTTTCAAAATTGATGCACCATTGCTTACACCAACGAACTACCATAGTAAATCCCTGTTTAAGCTAACCTAGTCTTTCCGATTTGTTATTTCTTTATATAGCACACAGTTGATATATAACAAAAAGAAAAGTGGTCCAAGAACGGATCCCTGTGGAATGACAGACTTGACAGAAACTATATCTGACACGGTTTCATCCACATCATGAACTGACAGCGGTCAGTTAGGCTGTAAGCCATTCTATCGTTTTTTTCATTTTTCAACACAGCGCCCGGCTTAAGAAGTTTAACATGAGAGACCTTATCAAATGCTTTGCTAAAATTCATAAATATGGCATCTGTTTGTTTTCTTTAGTGTTAGCGAAGTCAGGTACAATCTCAACGAGCTGCATGATTGTCGAGTGGCCATTTGTAAAGTCATGCTTCCTATCTGTTAACACTTTATCTTCATAGAGAAAACTAATTGTATGTTTGTAAATGATATGCTCTAAGAGCTTACAGGAAGTTTAAGGTAATGAAATTGGCCTCTAATTTTTTATGCAAGCTTTATCCCCTGATTTATGCAAAGGCTTCACCCTAGAAATTTTCCAGTCTTCGGTAATGTTTCCTTGTTAACAGATCTTGTAAACAAAACATTAAACTATTTCGCACAGCACTCTGGGTAAAGCTTTAAAGAACAGTTCAGGATACCATCAGGTCCTGGGGATTTCTTTATATCAAGCTTTAACAGTAAATTTAGAATGCCATGTTTTGAAATAGTAAGGTCAGGAAGGGAAGGCAGTTTTGTAGAGAAGCATGGTAGACAACTGTCATCACTTATAAATACACTTTTGAAATGGTCATTAAATTTACCACACACTTATTTCTTATCCCGCACACTTTTACCACTTACAAAAAAAAAAGTCAGAAGATGGAGAAGCCAGCGTTACAACCCTCCAGAGCCTTGTCAAACATTCAAGCCAACTAGGCAGAATATAAAGTTCTGTACTTCTATGTGCCGCTACAATAAACCTTTCTGTCAGCTACTGAAGTTATCTTGCCGACCTTGCACCACCACACAGTGAAGTCATTAGAAGGTATCGGTGTTCCCGCCCCAAAACGAGGTGTACAAGGTTGCCACACAAGACTGGCGAGACAATGAAGCCCGCTGAACTTGTGCAAGATGTATGCATGTAGTTACACTTTCTGTCCCTTAACAACTGTGACTACTTCAGAAGCAGCACTCACAGGGAAAGCTTGATGATGAGGTTGAAACTCTCTGGCAGAATGATCAGCTCCTGGTCTCGGAGCACCCGGCTGACAACAGCACGGGCCGCCACCTTGGCATCCACCGGGGGAAAGATTCGGGGGAACCTACACCCAAACAAGTAACGGGTTCAATTTCTCGCAATCAATATTTGTTAGACTGAATGTGAAGTAACAAAATATAACACCCTTGGACACCCAAAAAAGGAATAGCGAGCCTCTGCATTGGTTATAAACATCCAAATTCTTCACAGCTTGCCAAAACTGACACAATTCTAGAATATGTTTGCCTTGTTGGTCCAGATAAGAACACTGTTGTAGAGAACAATGAAATAAGGACTGTGGTGGATAGAAATACATTGAACATGTTTTTTTTATACCGCTACATTAAAAAAATTCAGCAGATCCCGCGTACCTTGGGAACGCAAAGCATGCGGAGGAAAGGTGACCATGCTGTAATTGTTCCTTGAGCGACACGCCATGAAATGACGCCCAATATGTGTATAAATGTTGCATGCACAGATTTATGTTCAAGAGTTGCAGATGTTTATATATCCAGTTGTTTGCACTTGCACAATGGTGGAAACAGAAAAATGAGTATTAGCAATACCAGAAGCGATGAGTTGATATGATGAGCGTGTGGTTGCGAGGATGTTAGCCCTGGACACTGCTACATAAATCAACTTGAACGCATGGCACCCAACCACAATTGGCGTTAACCCGACATGGCAGCTGTATCAAAGGAGTACATATGTGGGTTTGTCTTGCTATCAGAAATTCATCCAGCTGCAGCCATCAGAGCAACACAGTGGTGCTTACCAAAGCATAAGCCATCCACTTCCATTCTGCAGTCATCAGCCTAGTCCGCTCAACTCATTCATACTACGTTAGCTCTCATACTTGCCTTTATATTTCAGTAACGATGTACATCCAGACACACGCTGGCGATGAAATAGCTGCCTTTTTTAGATACGCTCGTAATCAGTGGCACAGCAACATCAGTTCACCACAGCTGCATCTAGATGGTGCTACTGCTTCTATTTAGTTTGATCAGTTGCCCATTTTCCACAGAAAAACGAAAAGGAGGAATGCAGTTGTACAGATTTGGACTGTTGGTAAACGGTGTTTTTGCGCACAGGCACCATGTGAGTTGGTGTTTCACTCCTTTATATGTTAATAAAAGGCTAGCTTGTGCCACACAGTGCAACATGTGCTTGCATTCATACAGTTTCCTAAAATTAGCTAGAGGAAACACTGGTGCTGCGATGGTTCAGGGACCATGAGAAATAAGGTTATGACATAAATTTGCCTGGTCCTCAGGCTTGGCGACGGCGAAGTGCACAAGTGGCTTCGTTTATTGCTGTGTTTTGGATTTTTTTTTCTGAAGGAAAGAACAAACTGTTTTTCACTTCGTGACTTGATTTTAAGTGGCAAGCCTAAAAGATTAGGGTGGTGAAGCGTAACTGCGGAACATTTGCCTTTTTTTTTGGCCGCGCGAAGCCAGAACAAACATAAAATACAAAGACTAGGAAAATTCATGTCATACTCATAATTCCCATGCTTGCTGAAGCGCCATGCGTTTCAGCTTCCATAGACATCATCAGCATCAGAGCTCCCTCTAGTGTATATTTAGAAAACTCTGTGCCTGCGTTGATGCTGACACGCACACTAATGCTTAAGTAAATGTTTTATGCTATGCCAAAGGTCGCCACAAATAAGCCTATGAAAGAATGACACCTGCTGCACCCACCATGCACTCAGGTAGGGCAGTCCCATGTTGGAGAAACCGTGGGACAGCACGGCGGGGCAGATGGTGGTCAGCCGGATGGCTCGTCCTGCCTCGGTTTGCGAAAGCTCTCGCTCCAGCGACATCATTAGGCCCATCACCGCAAATTTCGATGCGCTGCAAAAGTACGTAGGAAAGTGAATGTAGCGTTGCAGTGATTTCCTAACCAAACTGGTAATGAACCTTGACAGCTTAGAGGCAGGTACTCAAGCAGTCAAGTTTGATTTAATGCCTGGGAAAAAATACACCAGTTAAATGCACGTGATTGGAACATGCTGCTCAGATGTTCTTACGTTCTGTGATTATTGGAAAATATATATTTGCATTCAATAACATAGTGCTATATAGTCACAGGCATACGTAAACAGTGGCATATGTTGTCTACTTTATTGGTCCTATGAAAGGTCTCCAAACAGTTGATAGCCGCATTGGTGGCGGCTAACAAGTCAAGCCTCCAAGTAGTAGATTGATTGATTGATTGATATGTGGGATTTAAAGTCTCAAAAGCACGATATGATTATGAAAGACGCCGTAGTGGAGGGCTCCAGAAATTTCGGCCACCTGGGGTTCTTTAACGTGCACACAAATCTGAGCACAGGCCTACAACATTTCCGCCTCCATCGGCAATGCAGCCGCCGCAGCCGGGATTCGGTCCTTCCTTGGAACTGCGGGTCAGCGGCCGAGTACCTTAGCCATTAGACCACCGCGGCGGGGCTTCAAGTAATAGAGAGCTCTTGATACTTATTAGTGTCAATAGAATGGGCATGCGAATATCGGCGCATGAAAGTTTAACATGAATACCATTTAACATGACGAAGTCTTCAAGTACATGGCGATGAGCTCTAATAAAAGATCTTTCCTGCCTTATCATACGATGCAAAACCTTGTTTTATATTTTAGACTTAAAACTGCACTGATATACTGGTTCAGTTTCTGTACACGCCTTCCTTGACAAGCGAAATGATTATGCTTACCCTCTCGAGAATTATACTCGGAGAATCTAGAAATTTTGCAAAATGCAAGCAGACAAAACAGCTTACCAGGTCAAAACTGCCTTTATGACCTTACACTAATAACAGCCTGCCTGTTTCTTCATTCTTCATCACGGGAAGTTGTTTACACTCAGGCAAAGCAATTACCTCAATCAGGTGGCTTGGTTGGGCCGGTGATGAGAAAAACAGATTGATAAAAGCAAGTGGTTCTCACATCTAAGCTTCTTGCCCCGGTTTCCAAGGCTCAAGACTGGCGCACCTTTATTCACGCTAAACTTACTAGACTGCACCGTCAATTTAACTGATCTTCGTTAAAGAGAAGAGTAAAAAAAGATAAGAAAACAAAGCACAACAAGCATGGTGCTACCGTACTTCCAAATAACATTTGTAGAAAAGTTAACAGAATGCATAATCAAAATGAAAGATAACCTGCAGACATGACACACAATGTTAACACCACTAAAGGCAGTGTGTGAGCTGGGTGCAAGACACCAGAGTGCTACCGTGTTTGACAATGACAACAGAGAACTGGTCGGTCCTTTAGGGTCAGAGCCGTAACTAGGGAGGAGTTGAGGGGGTCTTGACACATTGTCCAGTGATACTGAAGTATCAACACGTCTTCCTATCGACCACCATTTGCCAAAGTTAGCTATTCTATACATATATATACGTCCCCCCAAAAAAAAATCCTGAGTGTGGCCCTGTCTCCTGTGGTATGAATTTTTCCTGCTTCTGTAGCCTCTCCTGACCACTTGACACATTCACCGTAAGTATGCATAATTGAGCCATTATAAAAGAGCTCTTTTGAGTTAGTTGCGAATTACTGAACTCGCTCGAACCCTTACCCCGTTGATTCATCGATTTGGGTTGAATGCAAGCCTAAACCTAGAAGCTGGGGAATGCCACTAAAACGCCGGCGCCATTGGTGGCATTCAAATGCGCGGCTCCACGGACGTATGAAAGAAGAGCGTAAACCGCAAGCAGGTACGACAGAGGTGAATTCTAACATCTCAAATCTTATTGCTGAAAAGGTGTAGAGTGCCTTCAAAAAGCCAGCATCATGTGAAAAGCCCGACCTGGTACTTGCACTCACCAATATTCGGTGTAGTTTGCTGCTCCCACCAGCCCAGCGAGAGAAGAGACCGCCACGATGTGTCCCTGCTTGCGCTCAAGCATCTTGGGGAGGAACTCCTGGATCATCTGAAACCAAACGAAGTTTACCAAAATAAAACACGCTTGCTTTGGACCAACGCTTTCAATAACACAATCACAAACCCAAATGCACAACTTTCATGAATAATAATGAATAATTAATTTATTACAACTACCAGCAGCAGAGGAATAAGGTCTGTCCCCATTCTTGCTGCAATAAGTGCCCGCTGTAAGAAAACCAGGCATAGTTGTTACCATCCTCATCTTGTGCACTCGCAGGCTTTTTAGTAAAATTGACAGGGCTGAGCGAGATACCACTCTCAGTGTTTTTGTGGCACACCCACTGCTCACTTTTCGATTTCGTACTACCCAAAGCAGAAAAATTTTCCATGTTAAAATTTATTATTAACTAGTACTTACTGTTCCTATGGCCAATCTTTTGGTCAGTAACAATTGCAGACAATGGAAAATGTTCTAGTGTGGCTGAAAGAATATTGTCACGTGCTTGCTCAAGAAAGACGGCAGTTGAGCATGTGCCACGAAGGACTAGGAAATGGACGAAGAAGAACTCGCTTGCGCGTTCTAATTAAAAAAGATCGACCTGCTTCTGGTGTCTCAATCTCTGCGGCAAGACCTCTGTTTTGATGTCGTCACAATATGAAAGACATGCAACATAAAGCAGTACTATGAACTGCATAAAGCCCATACAAAAGCAGCTATATCTGTGAAACCTTCCATCTTTCAGATGTCAAAACTGTGTTAACCAAGTTCCCTCAAAATATATAGAAAGACAACGTTATTTTTCAAGACGCATTCGATTTTATGGAAGTTATAATGCCATATTATGAGCACAAGCAAGACAGAAACAATGTGTTATTGCTCAACCGATCCACAATCCACATTTTCATTACACTAAATGCATCTGGCATATAGTTTCATGACAAAGAAACTAGGCAATATCTCTATGTGAACCATCAATATGGTCAATTATTCAGTGCAAAATTAATGAACTTGCCTAAACTTGATCCTTCTAACTTTAGGATTACCCCACGACTTCTTACATCCATGTCTCTGAAGTAAATGCCTAACCTCAAACCTTTGCAAGACAATGATTAAAGGCAACTTAGCTTCCAATTTATCCTACTTAGTAGTTTTCAGCACGCCACAAATAGACATAATTAGAAAAATTACGATTCATGGTCAGTTGCCTCATTGAGATTACCTAAGATTTAGTGCTAGGTGTGACCATAAATGCCTCAATTCAGGCTTTCAAACATTCTGCCCCAAATCACGCTGAACACACTGCACGAATGAACAAGAAAGAATAAACAAACCTTCCAATATGCTTTCCTCAATGAGTCCAAACCAAGAAAAAAAAAAAACATGCACTGCCTACAATTTTCATCGTGGTTGATCAAATGCAGCCCGGCATTTCCTTCTTATCATATTAATGTGAAATTAGATTTATGATAATAGACTAGTGAGGGCGAAGGTGAACTCAATCTTTATTCCTTGCACATTTTCAGGTATCTTATAAAAGTTCACAGTTCTAGAATGACACGCAGTTCCCTTTGTTTTATATGACATGAAAACAGTGTAGACACTCTTTAAACGAAACCTGAAGGGACCAGGAAAAATGTTTTCTTGAATTAGCGGTTCCATTTACTGAGATGAACAGGGGTGGGGAATTCGAATACGAAATCAATCATATTAGAGGCAGTTGTTTCATTTAAGCAGCAGTTCCACTGAATAGATGTATGTTTTCCAAGAGTCTACTGTATATCACTTACCCAGAAGTGGGACAGGGTGTTGACTTCCATGGTGCGACGGACCTGGTTTGGGTTCATGTTAAGGATGGGCATGGCCTGAGCGATGCCCGCATTGTTCACCAGAATGTCCACATCTCCGATGAGCCGGCCGATCTTCTGCGCAGTGTTCTTCACTTGGTCCTCGTCGGTGACGTCGCAAGTGAACGAGAATCCCTTCCCGCCCGATGCCCGGATTGTCTTGGCCAGTTCATTGTTGCGTGCCTGCACAACCGAAGTGAAATTTATTGTACTGATTCATGATTAAAAAAAAAGAATAATGCTTAAGACTCACAATACAGGGTAGTACCAACATGCCGATAAACTGAACTTTAGCAGAATTTCAGTGGTTCTTCATTGACAAGCTAAAAGAGAGATACGATATGGCACAAAGGTATGAAAGAAAAAATGCAAAATTATCTAATTGTTTAAGTCATGAGTTATTGACATAATCAAAATTAAGCATTAAACACGAGTCAATCAAATTCAAGCTGTAGTAGGCCAATGTCATTTATAGTGGTGGGGTGTAACTATATGTAGCTTTCATTTGAATGAAATGAGCGAAAAAGAAATATAAAGGCTGTAATGCGCCGTAGAAGATTGTGAAAGGTGCAAAGTAACTATAACATTCATTCATAACCAGTATAATACAGGCATCTTCGATCCTCGACGATGTGAATTTGCATCAAACTTTTGAGGCAGGGTTGCAGGAAGAAACTTCATAGGATATACTAGGTTTCATGTCAAGTGTACTTGAAGATGCTCTCCAGATGAGCTTGGTTTGTTGATTCAAGCATACTGGCAGTGGCTTTATTCATCGTAAGCTGTCGGCAGGCAAAAACACACACGCACACTTGACATTCGTATTAAAAGAACTTTAGATGTCTAGTGCATGACGGGTTTTAAACATATAGAGAGAAAATGACCTGCTTATGTTAGTCTGTGATGAACTTTGTCACTATGTTACTTCATTTTGTTTTGTTGATATAGTAAACTTCCTATGGAATTGACAATAGGTTCAAAAGTGGTGAGAAGCTAATATGTAGACATGTAAGAAGACACTGTTACAAAAATTCTTTGCCAATACATGTGATATCGACAACGAGGTGTATTAGGTTTAAGAGCATTTGAAATACATTTCTATAATATGGAAGAAACTAACAGAGCATTGTTCACAGCTATCTTGAGCTACTTAGGCAGACTTCTGAAGTGAAATTTACGAGCTAATAAACAAATGCTAATCATGAAAATATTTTAATGTACATTGCAAGGCGTAAAGTTGTACCAGTAACTGTTGCAACACACGTGCAGCGACATAATAAAAATTGTTTCCTCGATCTTATCACTAAGGTGTTTATTTTTTCTCTGGGCTCTGAAAAGGGTGTACAAGAAATAGAACTACAGAACCAGGCTCTCAAATGCACAAACGACAACACTCTCAAACACGCCTCGAAACAAAGAAGGGCTGCGTGCACATTTTGAAAGAAAGTAAGCAAGCAATAACAGCGTCCAGCAAGCACTTTGCTTTGAATATTGAAGTGAGCCTTGGTCCCAAGATATCAGAGATAGGCTAACAAAGAACCCGAATGCAAACACACTCATCAGAAACCTTTCTTTTAGAACTTGCTTTGCCACCTCGGAACACAAATGATAGCACTATCATCTAAAAGTGCGAGAGAATAATTATCTCATTCTTTTTTTCCCACTTCGTGGGGTTTCTTCTCAGCTTGAATAAAGAAACAAACAAGATAACAGTGAGCAAACAATTTCAATCTGCCTTTCTAAGCTCGTTCAGCAGCTTTTAAAATGAAACCTATGATCTAAGGCAAACGTTACGAAGTTAATATAATTAAACTTTAACTAATTTGTAAACATTGAAAGTGAGTTAGCTAAGGCAACTGCAAAGAATACACTCATAATCTGGTTCATCTAGGATGCACTCGCCCCTACGTTATGGTTAAATTATTTCAGTGCAAAGAGAAGTTATTTGCAGGAGCCTAATCTAACAAGGCAGCATCTATCGAGCACTTGATGAAAATCTGCGCACATTTATCGACATGAAAGTACAAAAAAAAAGACAAAATCTGTGAAGCTCCTTTGAAGTCGTAAATGTGAATATATTTCAAATAGTTAGAGTAATTCACAATCTCAACTGTATTAGAATACACACAAAATTAGTACAAATCTACAAAATAGACAGGGCATAGGACATCATGGTCCTGCATGCTATGTCATTTTTGGTAGGTGGAGTTTACTGTCTATAAAAATAATCTTTCATGCCCCATGAAAAGATATGTGCATGAGATGAATTTGCTTCATTTGTTATAGGTGTTTCGTTGGTGCTTGTAACGAAGAAACTACCAATAATAATATAGGAAAACTGTTTTATGATTATTGTAATTATAAATTACAAACTTGCAAATGCTCAGTAGTCAAAAAGTATTCAAGAGACTACTTGTTTACGGACTAGTTATCTCATTTTATTCAGTCTGAAAAATCCCTGTTCACACACCTCTTGTAACAACGTTAACATATGCCACTTTCCCAAATAAACAGCATGTACGTTTCACAAAGACGAGGAGAAATGGACCATGATGACAATATTTTTAGGTGAACGAGCAATGGTTTCGATCATGCAACAAGTAGTAAGTAACCCTTGACATATTCAACAGCATGTGAGGCCCAGAGCAAGTGTCACCTCGCCAGGCAAAGTGTGCTTGCAATACTCAATTCTCGGTGTGATGGGCCATCTAGCGCAATGATCATGAAGCGACAAAAGAACTTTTCTCAGGGTGTGAAATAACTCGACAATTGAATATTTCGCGCCTTTCGGATATAAAAAATTTGAGAACAAAGATGAAAGAGAGCGCACATCTGAAGCTGTTGGCCTAGCATAAAATGTTGCCGTGAACTTCTAAACTTGTCTAGTAGCGATCGTCGCGACGTAATAGTTGTAGGCGCAAAAAAGAAAAAGAAGGAAACAACAACAATGAGGAGAAAGAAACGCCAGAACAAAAAAAAAATTCTTATGTATCGAGATGGCTTGTGGATTTCTTCCTCGTCCACTCAAGGGCACGCGCCCGTGAGCAGGAAAGAAATAAGAATCGGAGGGGGGGGGGGGGGAAGCGCATTGAAAACGACAAGAAATGCAATCGACGGCGCAACAGCTGGGGAGAGAAAGTTGGTATTACACCGTATAAGGAAAAAAACAAAAAACAAAAGAGGGGGAGGGTGGGGAGTACGGCGCGCGACAGGGAAGTCCATGCATTGGTATACACGCGAGAAAAAGAGCCATCAGGGTACGGACAAGCACTTGAATTGGTTATACAAACAGCTCGCGTCTTTAGATAAAGTTGGCGTTAGCAAGTAGTAAGCATGACGACTGATGTCACTATCATTCAAAAGGGAAAGCAAGTAGGCTCGCGACAAAAGTACCAAAAAGATTGTCCACACACATGGCACACCACACCACGGGTAGCTTTTAGCGATAAACTTAATGAAAACTAACAGATAATAAAGCCAGGAAAGGTAGAGAAGTAGTTAATGTACTGTTTTGAGAGTGTTGTAGTAATTGTGAAGGAAAGTAAAGAGGAAGAAAAGACAACTTGCTGCCGAAAGGGCTCGAACCTGCTACCTTCGGACGACGCGCCCGATGCTCTACCAAATGAGAGCTACGGCTTTTTTTTTTAATTATTACTATCGAATTGTGCAACGGCTGCAGCGAGGCTGCGGTCGTTCCTTAGAGCACTTTATCGGTATTTATGTGCACGCAAACGTGGGAGTGGAGTCGGAGTGCCAAGTTAACATGGGAGAGATTTCATAGGAACAAAAGAGATTGCTTCTACAGGCTGGTGCAGCTGCACAATGCGGTGTTGTCATCACGGTGAACTAAGCATTTAAATAGTAAAGAAAAAAAAAAGAGCTGGTAGACTTAAGGCCTTGTCGGAAGCGCATTGGCTGCGCGTAGTGCACAAAATTCTTAGCTGCGCGCTCCGACAAACTCACCTGATCGATGTCGAGTAGCACAACCTTGGCTCCCAGGTTGGCGAACGAGCACGCTATCTCGCGTCCCAGACCTCGAGCGGCTCCCGTTACGACTACTACACTGTTCGAGACGTCCTTCCTCGACTTGGGCACGAGGGTGCGGTAGAGAAGACTCGGCCGACGCCAGCGCGAGCCGACGAACAAGCGTGCGAGCTCGACGCTGAAGAGGAGCCAGTTGAAGATGCACAGTATCATGCCGGTGGAAGGGTTGTCGTTGTTGCCACCGCAGTCACCACTCCCGAAGTCGTGGTTCGGTCGTCCGTTGCGCGCGTTTATCATCAAGAAGCTCCCGATGTCGCGTGTTTCGGGTTCTGCGATGTCGCACCGTCAAACGGACCTTCGGATGCTCTGGCAGCTCACGCCTCCTTTCGTAGTCGGCGCCGATGTTGTTCGCACCGGCCAAAGATAGAGCGAACACGTTCAGCCAGTTCGGAAAACGCGCGCCGACGGGACGTAGCACGAGAAAGAGCGTGTGGGGATTGTTTGCTGGTCGCACGCACAATCGGCGGAGGAGAAAACTGGAGAAACGGAGAAGGTTGTTATGCGAATCGAAGTTATCGAAGCCTTGAGATGGACTCCTCGCCACTCTCGCAGAAGCGGAGATGGAGGAGGAGAGTGGGAAAGAGCCCTCATTCTCAACTGTTGTACCCGGTGTGTAAATTTGCACACCCGCGATGAGCGTGTAGAATTTACTGGCTACTGCTGTAGCGCCCTTCGGCCACGCTGACAAGACCGGCGCGTCTCTCTGCGCTCGAAAATAAACGCTTCTTTCGTAGATAAACACCCGTGCGGTCGTATAATTCATGGCAATGTACCTGATGCTATGCACGGCAGCTCGCAGCGGGGTGGCAGGGTCTGTTATCGTCACGTCGAAGACGCCGCGAGCCAACGTTTCTAGTTGCCGCGAGCGAGGTCATATATAACAGTCTTGCTTCAAAATACGTGCCTCACATACTGAAAATATTGGAAGTATTCTGGGCAGTCGTGATATCTTGACGCCTTTACCCACAGAGGTGCACACGGCAGCATTTATGCCGTTTATGTTCTTCACATAACCAACTTCGGCACACATTTCCAGTTGACGTCACAGTTGCACAGGCCACTCCACTTCGATAATTCAACTGCAAAAGCGAAGAACGCGCCATTCTGATCGTTTAAAATGAAAAGTCATGCAATTCGTCACCATGCAATCCGTGAACTCGTCATATGCGTCTGCTATAATTTGCCCGAATTGGAAATGCCTCGCACATGTGTTCAGTATTATAAACTGCGGAGTTTTCGTTTTTTATAAAACATCTTTTATTATAACTAATCCGAATTTGCTTAAGTTACTTTTTGAGAAAAAAAAAAACAAAGCTAGTTTCGCACTGAGCTTTTGTCACAGCCAATTATGGCCAGAAAAAGTGCTATCCAAGTCAATCCTTGCCTCAATCCGGCCTTGTTACCCCTCTTTCTCATGCACATTGCAGGCGTGTTTTCCATGCGCACAACCGCTCTGTGATCGTATTTATTTAGCCGCAAAATGGGCAAAGCCAGTAAAATAAAGGTCGGCAAACAGCTCCACGGAGTGCCTCTGGACAAACAGCTCCAGGAGTACGGGACGGCAAGAAAAGCCAGAGTTAAGTCGAGGAACCGGAAAGATGAAGACGAACTGGTAAGGAACCCAGACACTCCGTCGTGTCGAATCAAGCGCATATTTCGGTGTCACCTCGTCGATATCTGACGGCGTCGGTTTCTGTTATAGTTTGTAGACGGCAAGCTTTCGAAAAAGATTCTCGACCAGGCCCGCAAGCAGCAGGAGGACTTGGAAGAAGAGCATGGACTGCAATCCAGGTAACGCGGACGACAGTTCGCCGCTTTTGGACGTACTCCTTGCTGGGCTAGTTGGTTCATGTTCCTTTATAAGCCGCAAGAATATGGCTGTTTTGCCCGACGAAAAACAGGCATTTGTGGCTTGCACTGTTCGCTGCTTGATGCATGCTCCTGCAACTGTTTCAGTGAAAACTTATTGTTAAGGTTGAACTAACATGACTAGCTGCCAATCGGCTGTATTGGCAGGTGGTGGTGATGACATTGTTTGCGGTTGGGAAAGCATGTCAAATTGGTTACGTACATTGTTTCTTAAAATATTTAGTTTCACTGGAACCATGGTCGGCACCGTTCGTATTATTGCTTGCCGCCAGATTGTACCTGCTTCGGTGTTAAACAGTTGCCTTTCATTTCCCTCTTTATTATGCACTGAGGCTACTGTGAATGTTTAAATAGTGCCTCTGAAGTTACATGGTCCCTTTTATGGTTTACCAAAGCCCTAGTAGCTGCATTTATGTTGACAGTGTACATTGCTACATTGATTTATTGCTTTTGTTCTTGACTACCGTTATTATTATTCGTATTTTATACTACACAGTCTGCAGATGTTTATTATATGAGTGCTACACATTGCTTGCGTCGCTTTATCTTACCCACTCTGTTATGCTTATATGGTGATGTGGGTAAGAGAGTATAAATAAATAGAAAAATAAGTGTCCATTGACACACCATGATCGTCGTACAGAGGCTGCGAGGAGGGGCATGCAATTATGAAGATTTGCTGCAGCATATGCTATCAGTAGTCGCAAAGAAAATAACATAGTGTGCACATGTGTCACGCAGCGCCCCTTCGTCACTCCCGAAATGCGCCACTGACATGCCCGGGCACCTACCAACTCCGTCGCCTACCGCTGCCGTGCTGTTTCCTCGTGCTTGCGCCCGTTTAGTTTTGCCTCACGATGCAAGCTTGAGAGCTGCTAGTGAGGCAAGTTGATTTAGTAGTCGGCGAAGAGGGAGCAGAGCTTCGGGGTGTTTCTGCGCCGAAAGTTATTACTTAAAATTGAGAACGCACATTGCGATTTTCCGAAAAATATACCAGCATGTTTGGCTAGCGTGGATTGACAAAAACTACTTGAAGAAACACAGTGATATTTGTGTCTTAGGTGTAACTTCATTACGGGTAAGTGCCATAGCCAAGCACTTACCTGCAAACAGAGATAGCCTACAGTGATTACCGTACATACAAACTTGTCCACGACCACTGTGTGCACAATCAGCGTGTCAGGGAGGTGGTTAAAATTGTGATGGCGATCGCGGAAATTCGGGTATTGCATTGGAAACAAACTGTGAAAATGGATGCTAAACCATATAAGTTTACTTTGAAGTATAGCCGATCGGTCAGAGTTGGGGGGCTCAGGATTTTAAAAATTGGTCAATTAATTTTTTAGCACAGTCTCCATCAATTTCAGTGACTTCACTGTTCATTAGCATACAACAAAAGTAAAATACAAGGTGAAACAGGTGTCAAAACATACACGAAAAAAAGTGATGACCGGCATTACTGCGGCACGCACCACGCGAAGTCTCCATCTGCCTCGCATAATATTTTAATCAGCTGTTTCCACAAATTTCAATCAAAAGAGGCTCAACATCAGCACTGTTTAAAACACTTGGGTAGAGGGGGGAGGCGCTGCTACTTTCGTGGTGCGGGCCACTGCAATATGTTAATATTATATCTCTTGTAGACTTGCCTAGCTCTGCACGACTTGTTTTCAATGGGAGCTGCTGCGCTTCGCTCAACCACTCTTAAAATTGCGGCTCGAGAGACTTTGGTCTTTTACTTGTTCTTGGGCCATGCAATTTGTAGTGTTTGTAGTGAAAGCGAGATAATGGTCCCTTGTAGGTCGTGGCGAGCAGCCGGTGTACGTAGTAGCTGGTATACGTGTCGCACGTCTTGATTTTCTGGTCTTACATTGAGTGAACAAGCGAGGCCTTCCTGATTCGATGAGCTCGTTAAAGTGCGACAACAAAAACCCTAATGCTTCCCGTTCAACATTGTACACAGCAACAGATGACGAGCCCCCAACAAACCGCGCTGCAGCACAAGAAATTCCGTAGGTACCCAGGGAGGTGCCCGGGCATGGCGGGAGAGGGCGACAACGGCGAAAGTGACATCACATGAACACTATCTATACTTCCAGTTTCTGCTTGGCAAAAAGGTGCTCATATCTGTGCATGACTTGGGAATGTGCTCATTAAAGATGGCATGTCAGGCATTGTACCTTGTTACAATGCCTGTCTCTTTTGGGTGATTCAGATACTGTAGTATGTGCCGACATGACTCAGTATCAGAACAAACCAAGTAATATCACAGTTAAAAAATCGACATGTTGCTTGGAAAAATGTGTGATATGAGGTGACATTGATCAGTCTGTGCCAAGTTGGTTAGATGAAAGAGGACATCTGTTCTGGTTGCGAGTATGTCGGGACATATTTGGTACTGTTCTTTTAATGTTTTTAGCCTTAATGATTCCAGTCTAGCAACATTCTCAAGAGGCTAGATGGTTCTGCAATCTGTGCGTGAGTGCTTTGTGGCAGAAGCATCTTCCAGACAGATTAGTCTGTACCCTAGTGCAAAGGTTTGTAATGAATTGCCCCTTACAGTAAAAAACCTCCCAAAAGCTTGAAATTATATTGTGAGCTATCTTACCTTAATAAAATTCAAGTGACCTATCGCAATGCCTATATTATTTATGTAGCTATTGTTTCTTTTTGTTTTGATTACATTATATTAGATTGTTCCTGTGGCCTACCTGTAAATGCAGTTTGTCTTGAACCGACAGCTAAAATTTTGTCTTAGTTCAAACAAATGGGAAGTTTTTTCTGATCTGAAATGAATAAAGCTTATTGATTGATTGACCTATTATTTTTCCAGAATGGTAATGAAAAGTCAGCATTTCTTAGTGCAGCAAAATCTACCAGAGATTTCGTATCCTTGATCTGCCCTGCCTGTGTGCAGCTGATAAATTACATACGAAAGAAAGGAAATTTTAAGGGCCGGTTTGTCATTGCTAAGAGCAACATCAATTCTGTCTGAGCGTCGGACACGTTATACGAAAGTTGCTGGTTCAGTCCCTGGCAGCGTTGCCCTATATTTTTGTCCACTTTACTTTCATCACATTTATGTCATGTTTGCTACAGATAACCTCCGTATATACTTTCCTTGGCCTTCCTTGTCTGTTAGTTATAATTAATGATCAATTTCGTAGAATCGTAGGACTGTTCAGACTAATGCCTCTTCTTCGTATCTGACTTACTTATTCTGCACCTGAAGGTGGTGCGATTCACGTCCCGTAGCAGCTGTCGTACCAATGGGAGCGAGCAACTTCTATTGTCTTTGCAGCTCAGCGAAAGTCGCATTTAAGGTGCCTGATGCCAAGCCGCGGCTGCTTGTCAACAAGGGCGCGTCGAGTGATGAAGAAGATGATCATGAGGAGCCTCCCGAGGATGACACATTTTTCGAGACGATCGTGAGTTCTACTGTCATAGGTCGTCAATTATTGTGCAATCTTAGTGGTCAAGAGAAAAAAAGCATTTGCTCTAACAGAAGTGCAAATACAGGAGTACTAACAGAAGTGCTTTAAAGGGGCCCTGCAACACTTTTGAGCATGGTCAGGAAGCGCTGCCGATCGGTAGTAGAGGCTCCCGACAACACGCGAGCCAAATATTATAGCACAGCACGCGGACTTGAATTCGCAATAAATTATCTAATTCAGCTAAAAATTGCTTTCTCTTCTCTCGACAAATCACTTTATATGACAAAAAATCACACGTCAACGACCCGTCTATCAGCCATTTGCTGATTTGAACAAGGTGCGCTCGTTTGTTACAGATATGGATGCGAGAGACCGCTACTTGTCCACACGCACGCGCGATCACACTGAAAAAGTTGTGCATTCGAAGAAACAAAAAGAAAAAAAAGTGCTCAAGGTCGTAAAGCGTGCATGATGTTTTTCTGTGGCTCTGCCATGCCTCCCTGCATAGCTTCTAGTGCTTTCGTCGGGACGAAAGAAGAGAGAATGTAATTGCAGCATGCGACAAACCTTTGTAACTCTACTCGCACTGGACAGATTACTAAAATTTTTGCGGCGTTGAATTCGTGAGACAATAAGCTCTTCCAGTGAATTTATTCCATGGTTACTTGAAAAAGTGTTCAGGGCCCCTTTCAACGTTTGTTTTTTAATAAATATGCATGAATTTGAAAAGGAAATGTAAAAACTGCTATTTTTCAATACATTGCTTTATCGTGTATAGCTCCTTCGGGCACATTGTATGTGCAATTATTCACATGGACATCGCAGGTGCATCACGCACTGCGTGTTCCTTCAAATAGCTTGAAGCGCAATGGGCATATTCGTGCATACTTCCTAAGTAAAGAAGTAGCTGTCGTTTAACTTCATTGTGCTGCATGCTGAAGAAGACCATTTTGAGGGCAACGCTACCGTGTTCGATGATCGTTCGATGTGCCGCATTCTATTTCGATGTGCAACGTTCTAGGACCGAAGTCAAGCATTTTTTTCTGTGCTCGAAATTTCGAGTTCAATCAAAAACAAACTGCATGCATTTGAGGCCTAATATTTTATTCTCTTTATGCGAGAATTGAAGTTAACTGCAGAATAATTAAATAGCTAATTACATGCTAATTAGCATTCATTACCAAAACTCGCGCAACAGAATTCATTCCTTAATTTTCTTTTTGGAGTGTAATATTGAGGGCCGTGAAATCATGCCATGTGAATTTGACACTTTTGCAGACAGTGTGTCATGGTTCGGGCCTCAAGGGGATAAAATGTAGTGAAGCACACAGATTGTAAATTATTGTGTGGAAATTCTGCTGTGCACATTGGCTCTTGCTATTGGCAGCTTCGCCATTTAAGCTGAAGACAGAAAAATGCAAGTTAAAAAATTGGTGTTCGTGCTTATTATGTCTATGATTTGGTCACTCATTACTCTGCTTTCTTGATGTTTCAACTAGTATACTAGGGAATCCAGGGTACTACAGCTACTTTATATCAATCTGCATTGAATAATGAATGCTATAGGCATTGATTCCTGTTCCCAAAATTGCATGGTAATTATGGTCGATATTTTTTGGAATGTCTTGGAATTTAAATTCGTATAACTTAATTCTGGTGCCACATGTATTCACTCCTCCCACTTATTTATGTATGTAAAAAAAACCCTAAGCTTTTTATTAACTGTTCAGTGCATTAATACTGTCTATTTCTAATTGCTGTCAAGATTGGCGAAATCATTTGTATTCTTAATTTGGGACCCACAAACAAACTTCTAAGGCCTTAAAAGATGTTAGTGTCATATATAAACTGAAATTGAAAACGATACTGAAACTTAAAAGTTCATGTGGGCCCATTTTATATCTGCACTGCTATGAATTTCTTGAATAGGGCACATGGTGTGGGTGTTTTCGATTTTTCATTTTGCGAAAACCTTTCGTAGGAGATTGACGAGGCGGACGAGAGGGCTCTCGAGTTGTTCATGAGCGAGAACAGCAAGGCTCGGCGCACGCTGGCCGACATCATCATGGAGAAACTCAAGGAGCACGAGACAGAGGTGGCCACCTTGTTATCAGGCGAGTGCTCGTGGGTTTCGGCAAATCATCCACTTATCACCTTGTTGCATCTGCCTATTCAGGCTGCTGTTGAAAGGTGTCGTGTTGCCATCTGTATTGTTGAAACAGCTAAGATTAGCACGAGGCTGCTCATTGCTGTTTTGCTTATGACATTTATTACGAACACGCCTGCATTAATTGTACTGCACATCGTCAGTAAGACTCGCACGCAACTTGCTCGTGCATGTTTGCAGAGAGATCTGAGATTTTCACTTGCTTACATGCGCAGCCATATATAAAGCGTGTAGGGGATAGTATATGGCTTATGGCCTTTCAGGCATGCAGAATTGAAAAACTTAGGTGGTTGGGTTTTGAAACACCTTGATTCCTCTGCCATGGCTGTGCCGTTGATGGCCTTGTCTGACTCTGCCTGTGCTCATGCACACACATGAACAAAAGCGCATACTCGGCACACACTGTACTTGAAGAATGCAGCCATATTGGAAAATCGCTGTCTTTCACAAAAGCTGATGTACTGTATCTACTGACATAATAGGCACACTTTCTTTTCCAGAAGATTTGACACCAAGTTCAGGGTGTGCCTATTACTCGGGGTGAAAATTCCAGAAAATTTTATTTTCGACTACTGCATAGGCAGCCGATAGCATAAGCCGCCAAAGTCACAAATATCCTCACTACTGTCGAAACAACCTTCTTCATAGGCTACACTAGTGCAAAGTGTGTTGAGCCTGCAGTCTTTCGTGTCCAAGAATCAAGCATGAGATGTGGTGTGCTTACAAGCAATTCAAATTTCCAAAAATAACCCTCGAAAAACCAGCGCTGCCATCTAAATGAAGGTGGAAAAAAAAAAAAAAAAACTATGAAGAGAAACCTTGACTGCGGGAATTTGCTGATTACGTTTCAAGCCGCCACCGTAATTTTGTGTGCTGAGCAATACGATTGTTCGAATTTCACAAGCTCGCGCCCCATATCCAACAAGATTGCAACTGAATCACAGACCACCGTTCGAGTGTTATAAGCGCTACCCATGCCCCCTTTCCTTCAAGTAGAGCCACCGCAAAGAGTTACGTTGATTCCGTACAAAACCGCAACTTCGATTGTCCATGATTGCCAGCGAAAAGTAACCAATGCTGACTAGGCCTAGCCTAAGGTTCGGCATGCTGTCATACCAAGTTTGTACAAGACAACATGAAGATTGGGCATGGAAAGGATCGCATTCAAGCATTCATCCAGGAGTAACACGTGTGATACGATGTTTAGGTTCGCGGCCGAGAAATCGATGCCCAGAAAGGTCCGCTGAGCTAATGCAAGTTTGCGTATACTGTAGTGGCAGCAAAGGCTCGCGTCAAAAAGCCGAAAAGCTTTTAAATTTGCGGACGAGACAGAAAATGCAATAACAACAATGCTTTTCCCGACAGGAAACCAAAAGCGCTCTTGATGGGGACGTGATCGCACGTTCCATGTGTAGTGCGCGTGGCCGGCACAAAGGCTACTCGGATGGCCAGGCAACTGCCCTTCCTTACTTGGCAAGCTCGCGCATCAATCTTTTTTTTTTTTTCCTCGCTTCAGCTAATGTAAGAGGGCATCTAATTGCAACTGTGCAAATACGGTACAGAACTACTGACTGAGGCCAAGTTCGTGGTGTGTCTATTATGCGGGGGAAAAAAAAGAAAACTGATTTCTCATGACCAAACTAAGGGTGGGCTTATTATGCGAAGTAATGTGGTACTTATCCGCACTTAGCTCTTGTGCACCACATGCTGTCGAGGTTACCATTGGGTAGATTTGAAAAAGAGCTAGAATTTAAACCTAAATGTAGGTGAAGTAGGCATGCCATTAAACTTTTATTGCCAAACTTGTAGCTATATAGAACAAAAGCGTTAATACGATAACAGTTTTTATTTTTGAATGATGAGAAGCTAAAGTTTGATGAATCAAGGCCATAGCATTAAGGGTACACCTGTGGTTTCTTCCCTCTTTCTCGTTCTTCAAGCCACAAGACATAATAATAAAAATAATATCGGTGCATCCTCATATAGATAATGTGGAATGGATTTCGAGTTCTTGCCAGATACAGTGGGCTTTGGAGCATTCCAGCCGTCAAGACTGCAGGAACGTGTAATCTTTAAACAGAGTTTTCCTGGAGCTGCTGATTGCGATTCATTAGTAGATTACTATAATGCCAGTCCAGCTTGGAGTAGGGAAATTTGTTTGAAGGTGAACAGCCTAACTTCATGTTGATGTATCTCTCTTTTGTCATGCTAGAGTGTGCCTGGGCATCAGAACTTGCGTGTAGCATCAGCATACATGGCGGGCAGTGTGCCAGCCATAAGTTTCCCATTGCGCATGAATTTTCAACACTCTGTATTTGCAGTCACCCTGTGTGTTTCATTGGGCCAAAGTGCACGAACTTGCTTGTTGGTGGGGAGGAGAGGACATCAATTGCATGGGCTGACACGACAGAAAATGCTTAGAAACAGCGTCTTTTATGTGCAAATAATAATAAAGATGGTTGCTTAATGCACCATAAGAGAAGTTCTGAAGCAGCCAGAAAGTGCCGATGGAGCCAACCTAAAATCTTCGCAGCCAGACGGGATCATAAAGTAGCCAAGTAGCCATCAAAGGCAACCCCGATTACAATGCTCGCTTGTCTTTGTAACAGCAGGCGACCCGGTCCGGCTTTGGCTTCACTGACGTTCAGCTGCTTGCTGCAGTGCTTCCTTGTTTGTTGCCCTAATATCTGAATCATTGCAGATGCGGGAAGTATGCAAATGGCTGACCTTGATCCCAAGGTCGTGGAGATGTACCGTGGTGTGAAGAAAGTGCTGAGTCGGTACCGTTCTGGCAAGTTACCCAAAGCATTCAAGATCATCCCTGCACTCTCCAATTGGGAACAGGTAAGCAGTTGATCCGTCTCCCTTTTTGTGGTTACGGCAAACTGGTATATGGCTCAGGGAGCCACATTTCTTCAAAACTGCAATCACTTTCTATTTATGGAAAATGGTAATGTGAACAAACTGCTCATTTTTACAGCTACATTTTGGCCTTTCATAATTTGTAACATGCTGCATTACGCTGCTGTAACTAGATAAAGTTTTCAGTATTAGAATGTAAATGTTTTATATTATTGATAAAAGCTGTTTATACTATGTTCCATAGTTTCAATCATACTTGGCAAAATATTGGTCTTTGTGTCGACAACACTCTGTTTGGCAGGTGCTGCACCTGACTGATCCTGATTCGTGGTCATCAGCAGCGATGTACCAAGCGACCCGCATCTTTGCTTCAAACCTGAAAGAAAAGATGGCTCAGAGGTGAGTAACTCTGCTCGTGCATGGGAATGCTTCTACAATGAAACTATTGTGGGACACAAAAATGTTTGCTGTTGGAAAATTTCTTTGCATTGATATTCATGCGCAGACCCTTCAGAGGAAAAAAAATGGCAGCATATCCACGGAGTGAATGATGGAGAGTGGGGCGAAGCATTCGTCCGTCCATTCGTTCTTGCTTCCGTCCATCCGTGCGTGCGTCTGTGCATCTGCCCCTGCGTCCGTTCATGTGTCCATCCATGCATCTGTCTGTGTGTCCGTTCGTCAATCTATTCAACACTCCGAGTACCACCATCTCGCTTCTTTTCATCATATATTCCCCATATAGAAGAACCGCCATCCAGCGGACATTCCCAAGGACTTAACGAGAGGTGGCACACGCACACTTTCTTACGGCTTGCGCTTCGGGTCTACTTCCCACCTTTAACCACCTTGAGTTCGTGGTATATACTAGTTCACTGTATTCATGGCACTGCGGCCCAACGCTCGCTAAACCTTTCTAAAACCAAGAAGGTTACGCCGAGCGAGTATGACGTAGCAACCTTTTCCTGTCAGATAGTGCTCAATGTACATGCCAATGGCTGCTAATGGGAAATGAGAGACAGGAGAATTCGACTTTTACTTTCTTACGGCTTGCGCTTCGTATCTACTTACCACCTTTAACCACCTCGAGTTCATTCATAGTATATACTAGCTCATTGTATTCATGGCACTGTGGCTCAATGCTCGCTAAATCTTTCTAAAACTAAGGAGGTTACACCCAGCGAGTATAACGTAGCAACCCTTTCTTGTCAGATAGTGCTCATTGTACATGCCAATGGCTGCTAATGGGGATCGCAGCGTGCGCGTTAACTAAAAGCCGAATGCTCCTGTCTCTCATTCCCCCTTAGCAGCCATTGGCATGTACATTGAGCACTATCTTTTATTGTTCAACAATGCACAGAAGAACTCTCTCACCGGCACCACCTTGGAGGTCAAAATGTTATACTTGTTGCACACTGCAATGGCTACGAGGGACGAACAGGTGCCGCTATAAGGAGCTTCGCCCCTAAAAGTAGTATGTGTATTATTTAATTGGCACTGTGTTCGAGATCAATGCAGTGACTTAGATTACTAGAGACCCCCGGAATGCCTCTTGCACGCTGATGCACGAACGGTGAGTACAAATAGACCTTCAAAATGGCTTGACGATGGTGTTCCGCTCAGTGCAAAGGGAACGAAGCACAGTCAGTTTGCGTCGGGACCGCAGCATGTATAGAATGCTGTACAAGCTGTGATGCCTGCCGATATAGCGCTTGTGCCAGCAATCGCGACCGCGTCCTTAAAGTCAAGGTTCACAATTGCTGCTCAAGAGTAGGGGTTCTTGAAGAGGGTTCCGCGAGCCACTTGTAAATCTTCCGTGGTTTTGCACTCACCCACTCAACTTGCATAGAGGGCGATCCCGAGGTGTGATTGATTTAGGAAACTTTCTATAGTATTCTCACCCGAGCATCAATAAGCACATCTCGGTGTGTAACAGAAACGTGGGAGCTGCACATTAAGTCCCGCCAGCAGTTTGTAGCCAGCCAGACTCTGAAAATGAGACACCCGGTGGCTTAAATCTTGGGGGGGCCTTGTCTTAACACAATGCGTATTTTGGCTATTTGAAAATAGGTGCCTCTATGTCTAGTGTCCGCGCATCTGCCACGCTCGTTTGTCCACCACCACCAATGGCCACACAGGCACGTCAGAGGGCTATGCGCAGCGCTGTAGACAAAATTGTGCGTCGTTTAACATGACCAAGAGGGCCAAACATGTAGAGCTTACCCCAAAAGCTTTTTGCAGTACAAAATCTTAATTTCTTGAAAATAAAAATGAAAGAAAACTCACTGCTGTGGGGGTGGGGTTTCTTGGCACTTACGTAATGTAGCTTAACAGGGTTCGCTGGCACAAACATGCTTGCGAACCCCTGCACCCCCCCATCCTACCTTACGTTCCTTCATGATCCTTGAAAACAAGCAGGGTGTTCCTTTCTGACAGTAGCAATCGATGGCGGGCCTGGCGCGCAGCTTGATGCTGTCGCACGTGCCCTCCGTGCAACGGAGATAGGCCGACTCTTTTTATCTGCGCCTCAGCCGCGATCGTCACCCATTGCACATAGTATGTAAAACATACGATGTGCAAGGCGGGGGGGGGGGGGCATTATCGATTTGGACAGTACACAAAACATGACAGCAAGAACTAGTCCAGACTGCCTATATAATTGCTATTGTTCATTAGAAAAATATAGCTTTTGCATTCGAGTGTCGTCTTAGGCAAATGCATACGAGTCCCCTGTGAGTTCCTTTTTTTTTTTTGCCATTGCTTTCTGAGGGCACTAGCAGATTTTTGTTGTACAGGCAGAATTCCCTAGCCCAGTGGTTCTCAGCCATGGATGTGTCAGGGACTGCTTGTGGACTGGTGGAAGTGATGGGGGACCCCTTGCAGAGGAGGGGAAGGAGGGGAGGGTACGTAGGTAAATTAATGCAACTGGAGCGTGTGATAGGTGCCTTTTACTGCTACCAAATACATCAAACAAATGTGCCATATCACTTCATTTTGCACAGTTCAGCAATACGTGGCACAGTCGCACTTAAACAGAGTTGCACATTTCCAGGCACATTCAACCTGTTTCGGTACTTACTTTGAGTCACGGCCGGACTAAATTCCAAAAAAAATGTAAAAAAAAGAAGCAGTTGAGGGGTTCGCGGATTATAGAAGTGGCTTCACAGACTCCCATTTGAGAACCACTTCCCTAGCCATATACACTTTTGCTGCAAAAGGAAAACGAAGTTGCGTTGGTAAATCATGTTGTCCACCTTTCAGCATACATCCTGACGCTTTCACGTAAGCTTAATTCAAGCAAATCTCTACATATGGGTAGCCTAGCGCATGCGCAATTGATATTATGGAAGCCTTGCTCCAGCTAAGAGGGGCCTCACAGAGAAAGAAGGGAAGTGCCGGAGAAGGTTGGCTCTTTGAGGCTACCTAAGTGCAATCATGTTATGTGCAGCAATATAGTAAATGATAGTGAAGAAAAAGAGCCTCCCTTTCTCCTTAGGGGTCATCTTAGGGGAATACATTTGGAACACTATCATTCTAGCTTTGAGACGATGTGTGTCGCAGCATTTGGGGGCCATGTCTGCTGACAACCACATAGGGGTATTATAACGTTATTTGATACAGTATGATTTCATTGAACTAGTATTATGTTTATTTGCTCTGAAAATGATCGATGAACAAGTTGTTCCAGAATGCTCAACTACCTTGCACCATTATTTTTGCATACACGTCTGAAATGGGGAGTGCTCCTAAGATGATTGGCTCTATGAGAGTTGCAACGAATAGACATTTTTCTAGCTCTTCATAAGAGCCCTAAGATAATTATTCATGTCCTTGAATGTTAATGCAATTTGCTTCTGCAGTGTACTCCAGGATGTGAGGTTAGCTGCTCCAGAGTAGAAATGTGCACAGGCTCCGGGTAACCCGACCCGACCCACAAGCTGGGCTCGGGCAGCCCGGCGTCTTTTCAGCTCGGGCTCAGACCGAGCTCGGGCATCCTTGTTGAATCATCGGGCCGGAATCAAGCCAAAATTATAGATGATATGCCGGAATTCTCGTTCATATGTGTCCTTTATTTGGAGAGAAACCGGCATGAAGTTAGGGAGTACTTGCGTACAGAATCACTAAGCGGGTGCTCCAAACTTGAACTTCTTGAGTTTTGGAAAGGGAAAGAAAAGAACTATACGAAACTCGCCAAACTTGCAAGAAAAATTTGGCGATTCCAGCTACAAGTGCCAGCAGCGAACACTGCTGCAGGATATGTAATGCACGAATGACGCACTCGATTGAAGCCCGAATCGATGGACAACCTTTTTTTTTCTGCATGATAATTTGTGAATGGTTCTGCATTCATTCTAGACTTTTGACAATTGGGAAAAAAAGAAGCTACAGGGATGGGCGGCATGCTTTCTTTTCTTAATATAATGCATTTTGATTTTTTTGTTGTCATGTGCTTTATTGCATCGTTCGAGTCAGGCCGGGCCTTGGTATAAGATGCCGGCCGGCCTGGCCGGCTCGTCCTCAATACATCATCAAGCCGGGCTGGCCCGCCTCCGGGCGAGCATCGGGCTTGGGCTGGGCCACGAAACTGGGGCCCGTGCACGTCTCTACTCCTAGAGTGCTTGTAGATGTAATATTACCTGCTCCAATGTGCTCCAAAATGAAAATTTTGCTGCTCCAAAAATTGCTCCAATTCAGAAGACCTTGATAGCATCACCGAACACAGTAAATGTGCGATGCAGGAGCTGTTATAGTGGCAGTCTAATACCAAGTGCTGGAATATGGACTGCTATAGACCTTTTCAGAAATGTCTCCCTGGGCGCCGCCAAAGTCCTTTTCGGGCTGTGCAAATTGGCCTGACCCCTCAAAAATGCACTGACAAGGCTGTGCCCTTAGCCTTAGTACTCCCGCGCACAGCCCATCATGGCGGTGTTTTTTTTCCTCCTGTCAAAAGGTGTATAGTTACCTGTAAACAACTGTAAAGCCGAAACACTTAGTTCCTTTTGTTATGGCATTATTGATTTAATCAACCGCCATGTTAGCCACATGTCGTCAGAGCTGTGAGGTCACTGGAGATAACATGACATTTTTTACTGTGAATTCACCTGCAGCAGTTGTGGAAAATCGTAGTCCTGGTTTGACTTTATGTGCGTCATTGCCACCTCTGACCATTACCGGCCAGTATCCATGATTGCATGGGTTATGACTCTGCTTTCATCTATAGTAATTGCAGCAAGCACCATCTTTCGGATTTATTGCATGTTGGCCGTGCCACCTATGATTGCATCGGTACTTATAGAGGTTTCATCTGGAGAAGTTTGACGAGCAGTATTGCTTTGGCTTGGGCACATTGGCTGTGTACAGCAGTTTTAGGAGCGGGGTGGACGCTGTTCATAGTTATGTTGGTACGATTGCCCTTTTCACTGCGTTTGTGGCAATATGTATTCCCACCTCGACTCAGTGTACGTGCCTTCAGAAAATTGTGGTCGTGAGCCACAATTGGGATAGTATTGATGGCGAGAAGCACCTTCGTTGCAACACGTTGCTGTAACTATAGGTCGGCAAGCATGTGGAGCTCGCCCAGACTCGCTAAAAAATATATATATTGCTCCTGGGGCTCGCTTGCACTCAGACTCGTCAAAACATTTCTCGCCCGAGCTCAGTCAGACTCGCGGCCCGATCGATGTCTGGGTGAGTGCGAGTGAAGCCATGAGTGTGTTTGTCGGTATGCGGGTGTGACACGATGTGCTGAGCATGCAATGTGGAAGACATGTTAGAATTTACTGAGGTTGAAGTAAGATTCTCCTGTGGTTTGTATACACAGTGAACTTGCCAGCTGCATCATGATGTATGGCCAATATATTGCCAACCTGCTCAATGACAGTCAACTACTAATTGGCATGCGTGCAGGGTAGTGGAAAGCACATCTCAGGTGGATACTGTTGTGTTAATATCAAGACTTGTGATGCAGGCAGCTTGTAAAGGAAGCCACAAGCATTTATGAAATTGTGTTGCTGCTATATGAATTTTATACTTATCTTGGAGAAATGCTCCTTTTGTGTCCAGTTGCATTTGGAAAAATTTCATTAAAGTGGAAATAGTACTACACTCAAACCTCATTATAGTAAAGTTGCATGTTACACAAAATGAAGTTTATTATATACAAACATTTATTTTAAAGGTATATTTTTAACACTGTATCTACTACAAGACAATTTTTCATTCACTTTGTTATAACAGATATTTCGTTGTATATGGGTTCGTTATATTGAGGTTTGAGTGTACAGTTAAACTCCACTACAACGAACGCTGCTTCAACGAAATTTCCGCTACAACGAAAAATTCACGATTCTCTGTCAGCAGTCCATAGGAGTCAATGCATAAATATTGTCGCCACATGAACACATTTTGTTTGATCGCCTTGCTTCAATGAAATTTTACGATGCGATTCCAGGCTCAGATACCTATTGCTATGCAGTAAACTGAATCTTTAACATTTCGATGCATTTCCAGAGCCTGAAAATACGTCAACGAAGTCTAAAACAGGTGTTGGCACCACCAGAAACCGCCGCTATACCGCCGCACTTCAGCAAGCATGGCCGCCGCCATTGCTCGATAGCGATGGCAATGAGACTGCCCTGGCCCTGCTTTTGCCGCTTTTGAGCCACAGATGATCCGAAGCTGAAGCTCGGTAGTTGATGGTTTCCTTCATGCAGCTGCTGGGTGCAACTGCGGAACGATGCCTTTTCTAATGCTTATCATTATGTTCGCGCTTGGCCAGTGTGGTCACTAATCAGAGTAGCTGTTTGTCTACATTATCAACAAAATGAGGTAGCCGCGAGTGATGGATGATAAGAATGGCATGGAATAATGCAAAAATCGGCGCTCCACGATACCCTGCCTCCATGCCGACGTCGGATACTTTTGACGGCGGACAGCTGCTGGTGTTAACGTGTTAATGCAACTGTTTGTTCGTTCACGAAGGCAGTTTTAGGCATTTTTTTCAGCGTGCTTTTCACAGTGGCCCCGCTATGCATGAGTAAGAATGACGCCGTGACGCTGCTGGGAAAGAATAGGAAGCAGCGGACATTTTTTTAAATTTTAAGAATAAACTTTTCTTTGTTTTGCTAGCTCAGATCAGCTATATTTTTTCGATTTCACTATAACGAAATTTTCTCTTCACTGAAATTTTTTCCACGCCCTGTTAGTTTTGTTGTAGCGGGGTTCGACTGTAGGTCCAAAACACTATTTGTTTAGGGAAACTTTTTTGTATTGTTTTCTGTAGCCAGCTGACAGGGATCAGGTAGTCTTTTGTTATGATGAATGGGAATTTTGTTGTTGATGCACTTGCTGTAGTGAGATTTGAGTGTACTTGCAATCAGACCTTGTTTGTTCTTGTTTTTGTAAAGAAAAATGTTATGTAGTTACAAGTTGTTCTAAGCCCCAATTTTTCTTTTCTTTTTCCAGGTTTTACAATCTTGTCCTGCTACCACGAGTGCGAGATGACATAGCTGAGTACAAGAAGCTGAACTACCACTTGTACCAGGTATATCCCGGAGCCGTTGCTCTTGCATTAAGTGGCGGTAGTATAGTTGGCAACTTTAATAACATGAATGTTCACGTCTCAAGAATACGCATAGTTAAGAAAAAAGTCGTGAAAGTTAGTGACTTGGCTCAAAGGGGCAATCTGGATTCATAAGAAAAAAGAAAAAGAACGAAACAAAACGTAAGACTGCTTCAAGATGTGAAAACAGCTATGTGTTTGGGACATGTTGGAAGAATGCCAACTAATAATTATAGAGAAAAGATTTTTATCAGGAAAAAAAAAAGTTAATGTGTACTAGCGCATTGGCTTTCTTTGTGGCCTCAGTTGCTTGCGAGACGTTGATATACAGGGGTAATACATCTGTTACAAGGACTTTTTTGAAAGACCATAAAGTTGATGGCTATCGAAATGCCGAAACTCTCTCGATCCATCGGAGTTATCGCTTTTCTGCATGGCAGTTTCGGACGGCCGTTGAGTGCTTATGGCATTTCTTGTAAGGATTGTGTGCTGCTGTAGATCTTCATTTTCGTGTTCATTCCACCGAAATTTGAATAATACAAATGTTAAAAGTACAAACATGTCTGTTATTTTTGTTTAAATGGTTCATGAAATTGATTGTACGTTGTAATGAATACACATATTTAACTCTTGAGTTGAACAGTGATGTCAAATATGTCACTGTTGTAAGGAGCATGTGCAGTTTCCACATTTCAAGGGGTAGTGATAGTTTGTTAAATTACACTGTTTGCGCTATTGACTTGGCAGTTTTCAAAGCATCACGTGCATCATCTCATGCTTGGCCATTCAGGGGTCTAAAACTCGCCTCAGCTAGTGGGTGACAGTCTCTAAGCTTAGTCTCCCGGTGGGCTGGGATGATTAAGGTTGGGATCTGGGAGGAGGGTTGCCATTTCAGCAAACTGCCAGCTATCGTTACTGGTTAAGATTTTTGCCACATCTACTATACATGTCAAATTTCAAGGGGATTCAGCATCGGGTTTCGATAAACACATCGATATTGATATCCAGGATGACTGAAATTTGGACATCGATTCGGAAATATACAGGTTTTGTTTTACTATTATGTTTTCACACATGTTGACTGGATGGTATGCCTCGCATAAAAGATGCTTGAGACCATTCAAGTCTGTGCAGCTCCCGAACATAGTTATTAAGAAAATTCCTAGAAAGTGGGATGAACACAGTCTTGTGCAGGTTGTGCTGCTAGCAAAGGGGGCCTGTGGGTCATGTGTTGGGTCAGTAGAGTATCGGTTGAAAGGTCTTACATATGCCTGTGTGACATAGATATAAATAATTCATAGTATGGTGAGATGCATCTACTGCAGGTGCATTGTTTACACATGTAGGGCAGGGATGACTGACTTACTTGCACGTCTGTCACCAGCTCGGGGAACGGTGTGGTTATCTCACTGATTAAGTTTTCTTTTTAAAATTTTTGATTTCATCGTGTCCTGTCCTGCTGCTCTTCCAGGCCCTGCGGAAAGCACTGTTCAAACCGGGTGCCTTCTTCAAGGGGATCATACTTCCTTTGTGCGAGGTTGGTTCACTTGTACATCTTTTTCATGAATCGAGCTCTTGTGGTGTTTTCTTCACATAATTCTTGGAATCTGGCTGTGTTTTATGCATGCCAACACCAGTTTGTGATTGTTGAAGAGACCTAATTGGAGGGGTGGCGTTTGTGTGAGCGTTCATTTGAAATCTAATCAAATTTATTTTGGGCTTTAGCACCAAACGTATGTAATAAATATGCAACAGCATGAATATAACTATTTATGAATCCTGGATGTCTTGGTAGCATTGCTAATTGGTCATATGAACCATGCATGCAGTGATCTGCCTCATGTAACGCATAAATGCCTGTTGGAGTTATCTGCTTGCTTGCCGTTCAGTCACCACTTTCAGAAACTACTGGGAAATAGTGCTGTTGATGGGCAGTGCTTTGTGGCAAGTAAAGATAAAGAAAAATGAAGAACATTATTGTATTTAACTGTAGTTCATTTTTGTTTAAGTTGTTAGTTTTTGTCTATGGATGTTTAACAAATATATTTGTATGTATATTTATGTTCTTGATAGATGTTTGCAAAGATGAGGTGGGGGTGATAAAGGAGGCTTTTCTTTGATAACGTGGTAAGGTTATTATACAGTAGAATCTCGATGATACAAATTCGAAGGGATCGCCTAAAATATTCGTATCAGCCCGGATTCGTATGAACCAAAAACAACTTAAAGCTGATAAAAATGATGAACAAGAACTTCATTGGCAACTACACCTTGCTGAAAAAAGTTGGTGATGTAACTTTCCTGCCTTCACGGCCTCTTAATTAAGTGCCGTGGTTTCCTCGCTCATGCTGCTGGCCCAGCGCGTTCACAGTTGCCATCAGAGCGAGCAAAAGCGGCCAAACTCATTGGAAATTCATTCACCTCCACGCTTAAGCAGAAAGAAAACTGCGCCGCGATGTTGACACGAAAAATAATGAGTCCTAGAGAATTCGCGTTGGAGAATTCAAGCGTAAGTCCGAGCGCGGCTGGAAAACCACGTCCGCGCCCGCCAGAAATGTTCACATTCGTTCTGCCCCTCGTATACATGCCACCCCCGCCGCCGCCATCGCCGCTTGAGAATTCATTCCATTTTGCCCATTTGCTGGGCACTGAAGTTCGTACGGAGTTATAAATATGCATACAAGGCACTGAAAAGAAACAGTTCACATTTTTACTAACGTTATTTCGGAAGACACGTCAGCCGAAATGACATGAGCAAACACAGCGGCGACGGATTCAGCCGGCAGTGCAAAAGTAAGACACGTTCGGGCAAGCCAACTCGCTGCTGCTGCACTTCTACTTCCGGTGTTATCAGCAATCGTAATTCAAACCAGGCTCTCCACGACCGCGTCCTTGTCAAGGTCGTGAGCTTTGACGTGCCACTTAACTTTATGGCCGCTCAGGTACTTCGCGACAGCGCCGACGCGACCTACTGCCGATGCCTTCGCCGCCATGTTGATTTGCGGCTGGTTGTTGACATCACGTGGTTTGAGCGATAGAGCAGGCGGTGAAGCCAAAGCCGGGAAGCAAAAACGGGATACGATGCTATCGCGTGGCGAGAAAATTGGTCTCGGACTGATTTTTTTGCGTTGGCGTGGTGGCGTGTTTTGTCGCGTTGCACCCCTGGCATGCAGCGGTCAATCGCATATTCGTATCGTCCGCGGTGGCTAGGGAAACCATTCGTACAACACTGAGTCACGGCGCATTCTATATAATGTAGTCCATCCAAAACAACCTTAAGATTCATATCATCGCAAAATTCGCATCAACCGTAATCATATCATCGAGATTCTACTACCTGGTTGCAGGTAAAGCATGGCAGATAGATGCACGACTTCATAAAGGAAAAAAGTATTATACAAATATAACCATGAGATCTGTACAAAACGTAAAGGGGCCGATGTCACCAAGAATTTATTTCTGCCTACCTATTTCCCGGATTGTCCGGTAGACTCCCGGGTTTTGACCGTTTCTTCCGTTTGTACAGTTGTCATGAAAATCTCTCGGAAATCAAAATTTTTGTGCGGGATCTGGCCGCATTGACAAAAATGCAGGTTATACCGCTCCAGGCTTCTTGCGAGCCTACCGCATTTTATTATAAACGAATTTAGGAGACGTTAATCTAAGCGTACAGTAAAACTTCAGGGATACGAAACGGTGGCAGATACAAATTTGTGAAATTCCCCATCTAAATTCCAGTCTGTTCACTGGGCCGAAATTCTAATGTTCCAAACACTTTTCCTAATTGCAGCAGGTGATGTGAACTTAACTACCGAAACAAAAGGTTGAGAGCAGCTTGCTTGAAGCTTTGGAAGGACGCATGCGACCAGTGCATGCACTGTCTTCTAGAGTGCATGTGGTTGTCGTTGCCACAACCTCTGTGGAGGAAACCGCCGTCGTTCTTGAGGCGGTCATATATGGCGACAACATTACTGACAGAACTCTGAAAGTGTGCGCGCGTCCAACACTCGGACAGTCAAAGCAATGCTGCTTTCCACAAACTCTGTGAACAAAACCGCGGCAAGTTCGATCATAGATAGCATAAAACAACTTAGTTTTGAAGGCACGTGTGCAGCGAGCGCACGTAGATGGAAAATGGAAATACTGTTTGCTGCAACCCTCGCGCACAAAACTGTGGTTGTGGCGGCGCGATAACGATCTACGAGCTTCGAGGGCACACGGATAACGCAGCGGTAGATTAATGGGAGTAAAGACGTTAAAAAGGCTGGAAGCGCTTTGGCATCTCTGTCCCAATAATCTAGTAGCGAGCAAAGCTTTGAAGCGTGCTTCCGCAGGAGCCAGCTGCGTTGTTCTGTCCGTTCACGTGTGTTCCAGAAAGACATATGCGAGCTGTTGTGACGGAAATAGATTTTGCTAGTCGTTTTAATGAGGGGAAATTTCGAGAGTATATGCGCTCCCCCTCTGAGACTTTCACCGTAGTGGAAAACCCTACCTTCGTGTGTGCGGCCACTCCATGCCATTATGAGATTGCAACGCCGATGTTTGTGCTTATGAATGGGACCCCCCTCTCCCCTCTTGTTTTTCGCATTGTTTTTTTTTCTTTTCGTGCCAAAAATGGGAGCAAATAATTTTGCGTGACTCCCCCCCCTTCCCTTTTAGGAAATCTCCCGGATTCAGAATCCTTGAACTTGGCAGGTATGTTTCTGCGTGATACAGGAAAATTGCCTGATCTCCCTTTTACCCTTCTATGTAATTCGCTTATCCATCTTTTTTTTTCTGTGCCTGTATGCTTTGCGAGATTAACCTTATTGGTATGTTTCACAGCTCCATAATTATGGTGCATTTTGATGGCAACGGTGCATTGAAGGTGAGGTACAGAAAAAAGTAAGTTAATCCCAGTTGTAATCGAAATATGGGAGTTGGTGCAAGGTTCATTCGGGCATTGCACTACATACATGTCTAATACAAAATACGGTCCATAATTTGTCTCACTAAGGTATGTAGCCCTGGAAAAAGCTAGAGCCCTTCCCCTTTTTCTGTAACGGATGCCTTTCCGTAGACGGCCGTCTATTAAATACACTTGCAAACATAAAATGTTCAAGCAATTGCTCGTCCAAGAAAGTAGTAAAGAATGCGAAAAGAAAAGAGGTTATGACAGTTAGTAACAATGATTTTGTATATGCTTGCCTATTTTGAAATTAGTGTGAACATTTCCTTAGTTTCGGGAATTGAGCTTCTGCCCACTGCTGAATGTTGTGTGATGCCTACGGCTCCCTCATTTATTTCAAAGCACGTGTTTCTTTGTGAACTTGCCCAGATTTATCTAACTGTGGCTGGTGCTATTTTGGTTTCTGACTGATCCTCGACAGAGGAGTCAAAGCTCAGCCACCTCGGTCCTACAAAACAGCAGCCTGATGGGTCGCCATTAGCTTGTCATTACACACTTGCACACCACCCCAAAACAAATGTGGCCAGCTTGTCTTCTTGAACATTCAGAAAGCTTAATATGTTAAAAGATGTGTTACGTTCGTCTCCAGCACAGGACATGAAGAAAGCCTGACAGAGCAGTGGAATGTGGAGCAAGGGAAATGTTGCCACAAGATAGAACCACTGTACACCCACATGTTGCAAAAGCGAGTTTCTTTGTGCATGCCATATTTTCTCGCGTACAGCCTGCTAAAAAATATGCTGGTAATTTGGAGCTGAAGTCGCAGTGCATGTAAAACGTGAATCACGTTGTGCAAGCTTGCTTCACGGCATGACTTTGCTGTAATTTAAGGAAGGTGACTCCTTTCAATACACATCTTTAAAGACGATAGTTTTTCTCAAGATACTTCAACTCAGAAATGTTAGCCTGTCTTTCTGTCAAAACGATCCAGCCGCACGGTGAAAGTTTAACTCCTTGTTCAATGTCCACCCAACTTGGTCTGATGGTTGCGTTTATACTTGTGAGCATTGCCAATCAAAAAGCAAGTATTATGCATATTTGAGGCGGAACATCTGTACGTAAGATTAGGTAGTGTTTTTCTTTATTTATAAAATGCATAGATACATAGTTCTAAAGACTGCAGTGTTTATCACACAGCGTTGACAATGAACAAAAAAGCGGGTGTTTCCTATACTTCGCTAAAACAACATGATGCTGCCACCTACCAATTACGTTCTAAAAACTTTAGTTTCTTGACATTACTGCCAGATGGCATCCATATCTCGCATATCGCCTCCAGACAGAAGACTATCGTCTTTCGACATGCTTTGCAGTGAAGCATGCAGATACGAGACTAATTTTATTTAGGAGCGAAGCTTCTTAATCTTGCACGATGTGCATTGTTGCCGTCGTAGTTCCCCGTCAGGCTAAAACACAGCTGTTACATATACCGTACATAAAGCATTCATAGCCTGCATAGGTTTTAAAAGTATGCTGTACTCTGTCTGTCCATCTGACCGTGCGTGCATCTGTCCATCTGTACAAGCGTCCGTCCATTTGTTTGTCCTTTATACGAGTTGGCGACTTCAATGTAGACATTATAGATCTTAGGACCTAGCTTCGCTCCATCACCAGCATTCATTTCGTGGATCTGCAGCCATTTTTAAAAGATGTTTTTACTATATTATGGTTTCAAGTGAGGAAGTGTGGGTTATATGCAAGAAATCATGGATTATTACAGGGCGTGTTGGATCCACTGCCACTCTGGTTCTCCTAACTTTTCTCATTGCAGTCAGGAACTTGCACCCTACGTGAGGCCATCATCGTTGGCAGCGTGTTGAGCAAGAACTCTGTGCCCATGTTGCACGCTTGCGCAGCCATGCTGAAGATAGCGGAGATGCCTTACACAGGCGCGAACTCCATCTTTCTGCGCCTGCTGATCGACAAAAAGTACACTCTCCCCTACCGAGTCATCGACGCAGTTGTGCACCACTTCCTCAGGTGAGCCCTGTTTGTTATTGGCATCGAGATGTGACTACTCTACGCCACACTCGGACAAGTGCAGGCGAACCCCTTTACGAGAGACATGTACCAGGGAGCAGCTGTCCTTGTCACTTGCATGAGGTGCCTCTTATGAACAGGATACCATGTCCTCATTTTCTGATCAACACCTATTTCAACGTAGGCACACCCGTGTCTCTGATACCCAATTGGGGCTTGCATTAGCGTCTCCTAATAAGAGGTTTCAACTGTTATTGCATATTACTCATAGATGTGACCACTGCATCAATAGCAACAGAACGTAGTGATTTATCCTTGCATATCCCGACCATAGACTTTAAGCCTTTCTTGCATGAAAAGCTAAGCAAGTTTCGACTGGGTTTGTGACACGAAGAAACATTCAATGAGTTTCATGTCGTAAAAACAACACTTTGAAATTGGTCTGCGATAACGAATATAGGCTGAAACCAAGCCTTTTTATTGCAGACTAAGAATGGGTCAGACGTGCACCACATGCCTATACAGTCGATCTTGGATATATAGAACTTGAAGAGGTTCGTGAGATAGTTCAAAATGTCGATAATTTGAAATGTGGAATATGCATATTTAATGCATATATAATGCGTTGCACGTCTCGAAATGGTTTTCGGAAATTGTAACATGCGTTAACATGTCCGATTCATTCACAGTATGAACAAAGTGACAGCTTCCTTCTCTTGCAAGTTACTGCACTTTATTCTGCATAAAATTGGCCGTGAATGCATTGAGTTTCAGGAGGCTGACTCTTTACATAGTAATTTTAGTAAAATTTAATTGAACTTGTGTGACCAAAATAAGCAATAGAGACTTCGAAATTACTGACGTCGCACTGATGTTCATGTGCTGAGGTTTTGGTGTGAACAGTCAAACATGAAACTTCGAACTTCATTTTCTTTTTTGATAATTGCCCTGTGATGATGAAACTAGAGACAGTAGAGTTCTAAAGGAATAACTTATGTGTCTAAATTGACTTAATGTTTGTCCCTCAACAATTTGACCGTTTCTGCTGTACATGTACAGTAAAACCTCGTTAATTCGAAGTCACTGGGGCGCGAGAAAGCTTCGAATTAAGCTGGTTTTGAATTAACAGAACATACAAGTAAGTTGGATGCAAGGAACTTAGAACTATTCAATGTAATCAGTGCTGGTCGTTTGCTGTGCTGGCTAGCTTGCGGCTTCAAGGGTCATGTATTCCAGCAATACCTGGTCTTTATTTTGCCAGTGAACATGGAGGAATGCTGGGCCTCGCTGCTGCCACCGAAAAAAAAAAAAAAAACCGCAGTCGTACTCGATTAAAATGTGCACCTGCAGAAACAAGACATCTTCACTGCAACACAGTAGTGACATGCGGGCAGCATGTTGCTTGCTTCTCGCGCCGTCCAGCACAGTCATGATCGCGACCAGTTCGCACATTCCTTCTATTATAATTACGACTATAATAGTGGCCAGTGTGACAAAGTTCACGATTTGTTTTGGCTGGAAAAAATTGATGTTCGAAACTTTCGAACTTAGTTTTCGAAGTAGGTGTTGCTGGCAAGAACTCCGCTAGCAGTGCAAAGACGCGAATTGCTGGAGCAACCGGAAATCGGAGGTTCGCATACATCGCGATTTCCGCTAAACTCTCCTTTATTAATTTTTTTACGAATTCCAGAAAGAATGGGTAAACCATGACCTGCTGACGTTGCGTGATACATGCAATCAGCTGCCCGCGTGTCACCGCTGTGCTGCAGTGAAGCACAGCTCGTTTTCTGCAGGCGCACGTTTTGGTTGACCACGAGACCGTTCTTTCTTTCTTTTTTTTTTGCACTGGAAGTAACAAGGCGGGAGTGCTTCAGCTGCCACTCATTAGTATCGATATGCTGCATTGCCTTGTGGCTATTATTAGCCGTCGTTTTGCGGATTCGCAGCGAAATCGGGATCTGCAACTGGCATATGGCGCCCAAAGTTTTCGAATTAACAGTACTGGTGCCGGCCGCCGCTTGAAATTGTTCACTCAAACTTACATTGCAAAATACGGGACCGTGAAAATTCTTCGAAATAAGTGGAATTTCGAAATAACCGAGTTTGAATTAACGAAGCTTTACTGTATGTTGGCAGTTTCCTGCCCTGCGAGGCCTTTTGCTATACAGGTATGTTTATGACCCTCTGTTTAAAATTTCATGTCTTAATGAGAAGGGAGAACGTACGCTCACTGGGAGGTGCTGCCACCTCCTGAGGCTTGCTTACAAGAAAAGTTTAAAATTTGATTGTGCTATCTTCTTGCCCCGCCGCAGTGGTCTAGTGGCTGAAATACTCGGCTTTGGCCCGAAGGTGGCGGGATGGAATCCCTGCTGCAGAGGCTGCATTTTCAATGGAGGCAAAAATGCTATAGGCCCGTGTGCTCAGATTTGGGTGCACGTTAAAGAACCCTAGATGGTCGAGATTTTCGGATTCGCGTTCCAAGAAATAGCACAATCTGAAGTACTATTGAACGAATTGCAATTCTGTGTGATGCTGACACCAAAATGATGTTCCTGATTTTTTTTTTGTTTATAATTTTTTCTAGACTTAACACATATAATACATCCGAAATTCCCAATAAAGTAATTTGTCCATCCGGAAAGGTTAAAAAAAAATCACTCCTAAATGTGTTAAAGTATGCGTGCCTGCACGCTTTTCTCTTGTGAATAAATTCATCAATAATATAATAATAATAATAAATCATCGAATTGGTCACCACCAGGTTTGAGCGAGAACAGCGGGAGCTGCCTGTGCTGTGGCACCAGTGCCTGCTGAGCTTCTGCCAGCGCTACAAGGGCGACATCTCTTCCGAGCAAAAAGAGGCTCTGCTGGCACTGCTGCGTGCCCAGTCGCACTACAGCATCACGCCCGAGATACGCTGGGAGCTGCAGCACGCCACGTGCCGTGACGTCGAGGTGACCGAGCCCATGCCACAGGAGGGGGAGGAGGCTGCAGATGCCGTTGCCAGCAGAGGGGGAAGCGCAGAAGAGGAACCTTTGTCCGAAATGGCCTCCTGACGAGAAACAGGGGCATGGGATATAGCGCAGGACAGCCTGTCCACAACGAAGTGTAAAATAAAGCTGTGAGCGATAAGAAAAAGCTGTCAACATTGTTAAAGTAGTCGGCCTTCCCTCCAGGCTCCAAAACTTAGTTCCCCTATATTGCGGCATAGTCCCTTCACTACCTAACAAAGATCTAGGTGAGAAAATGAGATGCACTTTGCAAATTATTATTTCACGTCGTTCCACAAGTGCAAGCAAAAAAAAGAAACGTTAGAATAAAAATTTCACTTTCAAGAATTAAAATGAATGTCTGCAAACAAGGACTTTGGTTACAAATGTGGGAAAAATACCCCTATAAATACAAGTTTGGCTTTCAGTGCTGCAAGTATCTTGAAGGATTTGCAGTGATAAGGAACATAATTGCTGCTTTTGTGTACAATTAAAAAAAATTAATTTCTGAACTTTAAGCAGAAAGGCCAAAGCAGCTGATTACTGCACAATCTGCCCACCGCTAATCTTTTTTTTTCTTCTTTTGCTTGCAAACTAGCTCCTAATGTTGACTTCTGCTGGACTCTCTTGGAGTATGGGTAAATGACACTGTGGGCAACAAAGGTGGAAGTTTTCAATGACTGAGACGTATAGGACAGGATAGATAAGGTGTACGCAACGAATGTGCATGCATGTCGCACATTTATAAACACAGTTGCGCCCCTTTATAAGGACTCGCACCCTAGAGGAGTTTTTGTTCCTTGTACAAAGGATTTCTTATAAGCTCATTACCATGTGTTTATTTGCTTTAAACTGTCTCATGGTGGGCACACTGGTGTCTGTTATACCCAGTTGTCTCTTACATCAGTGCCTCCTGGTTCAACTGTAGTTCACTTGATACAGCATCGTCGTCACTGTTGCTTCCTCTACCTTCCTTTCGTTTGCCTCATTCCTTTCGCATGAAAACATTAGCTGACCAAAGGCCAAGCCCTTCTGAATGACTCTTAGATTGAATCTCATTATAGTTTAATGGGATTCATCACTAAAATGTCCCCTTTATATTTGGTTATTTGTTGAAGTATATTCATTGCATTGCTGGGTGAGTGCGTATGAACTTTATCGACAATTTCAGGTGGTATTGTGGGGGGTGGGGCTGCAAGCAATCAATAAGAATACTTTTTTATTTACTTCATTGTGTTCGATAATTTTATCAATGTACCTGGGGAGAGTTTGCAAAAGTAGAATGCCCCCCCCCCCCTAACGCCTCTGAAAATGAAATTCTGCCATCTCTCAAAACGTTTTTTTTTACACTGTATCTGCGTACAAGTATTATACACACTTGAACATATACACGTGCGTGCGGATGCAAGCCACCACTCCCAATAGAAATTGACACTGCCTATGCCTGTGTTTGTGTAATTAATTATATTCATGCTTCTTTTATTGAGGTTCTAGTGCGCATTAGTGCAAGCAATGCTGGAGACCAGCAGCGCTATTAACAACATAAGAGTGCGCTGTTAACATACTTTTACTTGGGGAATGGGGGAGGAATTCCTGCTTCATCGTATGCTATTTGTGCGAAAAAGACTCTGTGCAGCACCTCCTGAGCCTTGCACAAAATCTTGCTACCAATAAGAACACTTTAGGCTTGCTTCAATTAGTAGACAAGCACACCTCCAGGCCATTTGTCATGTATTTGTTTAACTGTGGGAAAGCATGCGTTCACGAAAGCACAAGGGCCATTTTGGGTGCACTGGTATGCTTCGTTGAAAGGGGTCAGAAGTGGGTAGTAGGCCTTCAGCCTTTTGTCAGCATGACCAATAGTAACCTGCCTGTGTCGCTGTTTCAGAGTACCTCCTTGAATTGTGTGTTGGTGAACCTGGTTTATTTAAAAGTCTGAATTTTTGGGGGCTAACTCTTGCAATCGTAATCTAAACATGCACCGTCAGTAAAGGCAAGAGAAAGAGAAAATCAGGGACGCTACCTAATTTCGCATTTGCTTTTCAGCTATACCCATAGCATATGGTTGTCCCGTATGCTAATTCAAAAGGTTAGTGTGTTTTTAACGCGATAGCATTAAAGGGCTTGTTTCACAAAAATTCTGGTGTCAGCGTCATTGGTTGTGAGCGAAAAATCGAGAAAGGTGCTAATGGAAATAAATAATAAAAAACTTTTGGGTCTTAGTGAAGATCGAACCCGGGTTATTTGCGTGGCAAGCGGGCATTGTACCACACAGCCATGTTTCTAATAATTTCTAATAATTTCTAATAATTTCCTCTGCTTGGAAATGCAATGAAAGTAACTTTCGTGCTTTACAAACACACGCATCCTGTATACATGCTTCACAATACAAAAAATATTGCCGTAATATTGTGTGGTACAAGTGTACATTGCCATCGGCTGTCAAAACATTGGATTTTCACAATGACTTCATGGTTTAAAGCCAGTCGCCCACTACAAAAGGCACACATGCTACTGCACCCTTAAGGCTATGTAGCAGATGCATAGCAAGTTCGAAAATATTTCATGCACTACGTGGTTGAAGTACGCACTAGGGACAGGATATCGCTGTCGGGTTCAACTCTTAAAGGCGAAGATAAAGGGTCCTGCAGCTTTTACTTTTCAATTCGTACTGAGCACACTGCTCTTGTGGGATTGTCGATCGTCAATGGAAGAGTATATCAGCGGGAGCGTTACTTACAGCGAACAGTGCAGAGAGAATAAAGTTACGAGAGGTTAACGAAAAAATTTTCTGGCTTTCTACCATGAAATGGGGAAGGGGAAAGAGAGATAACGAAGGAAAAAGAAAGAGGAATGGATAAAAAAAAGCCGCGACTTCAGTACCACTTTCGTCGCTTTCTAGTAGGATGCTCGAACATTTTGACACTCGAAATTGACTGCTTGAAAAGCGGCTGGAACGGGCTCTGCTTTTGTCTGGTAGACGCGTTCCTTGAAGACCTTGAAGATGCTTGAAGACCAAAAAAACTTGTGGCGCTTATTCCCAGCAGCATCCAAAAGGGCTGCTATTTTACTTGCTGAAAAATCACAGCTTGGCTGCAAGGGCAAAGCAAGAAATGCAATTTCAAAAAATTGCAGTGTTATCTGAAGTAAGCCTTTATCATTCAATCTGGTGTAACTCAAAAAAGCTGGTGTAACGAGCTGCACCCACGGCTGCTGGTGAAGTAACTTTTTGTTCTGCCTATCACTTCAGGGCAAACTTAGTGGCTAGAATACAGCATGTGCAGAGGTATGAATCAAGACAGGCGTGCAAAACAGCACCCAGCTAGAAAAACCACGTAGTTTCTGCTGGAGCCATGCATCCACAACTCCAGGACGCTTTAAGACAACCAGCATGTTTCCTTCCTGCTTGAGATGGGATCATCAGCTGCCCTTGCACATTTGCACATGCAACATGTGATGCGTAGGGCGATGTTATCATCTTTGGTCTTTTATAGAACTTCACGGCAACTTCAAAATTATGTCTGGAGTGTCCATATAATTGCTCTCGCAACTGCATGACGGGACACACACGAGCTTTCAAAATGGGCGTAGCAATTGTGTCTACTGTGTAATGATTACTTTTCAAGTATGATGCCATTTGCCAAGTTTGGCTCTGGCTGAAGTCTGCATGCTTTCCAGAGCTTGCGGCATACACGATTGGGCTTTGCCAGTGACATTAGGAATAGTCATGTCTTTGCCAAGTAGCATAAATACCAAGGACGCGCCTAGAAGTCTGTAGGGCATGGGCGTTATTGAAGTTCATGAAGAAAGTGAGCTTGGTAATGACCATACTTAGGACAACTAGTCATTTCAGTGCTATATGAATGAACTTGCATTGTGAATGCACTCGTATATAAGTTCTTTCTTAATTTTTTTTAAACAGGCATTACAGAACTGCACAAAGGACACATAGTGATGTTTGTTGACAGATATATCAACCTTCGTGGTGCATGGCAGTGAATTGCTTTACTAATTAGTTATTTTTCAATGCAGAATACAGTAAAGTGATTGCACAGTGTGCTTAGACAAAGCACACCTGTGGCCCTTAATGCAGTAAAATGGCCTAAGGTTATCAGCCTATTGTTGAACAGTCTTGTCAGGTTTATGTTTTGGTATGTGATGCATGTCTTACTAACGTAAAGTGAAGTATGCTATGCGCTGTCTATTCTTTCTGAAAGAGTAATTTAGCTGCTCCAGAAGTGCATTTTACTTGCTCCCAGAAGTACTCCCAAACATATTAGGTCCGTTCGATTCAGCTGAACCACATGAACCAGTTCACGAGGTGCTGCACCTTGCCATTAATTTCAGTGGTGCAGTATTGACAACGTCTCAACCCTACCATTCCTTTTGAAAGGTGCAGAAGAGGTGCAGCACTGGTTCATGATTTTCCTGCACCTCCTACGCTGACGGTGCCAGCTTGGTGCAGCCGCACATGCAGCTGAGCAGACCACGCAGCACTTACGTGTAGGCGCAGTACAACATCTACTAACGTCATGTTTTTTGCCAATATGTTTTCATCTCGTAAACTGTTTGCATGTACGGTTCGCCATCGCTCAATATTAGTCAAACGATGTAAATTAAGTGAACAGAAATAAGGCCTGAACCTTGTTGGCACATTGTCATTCGTTTCAGGTGTAGCGCTGTGTTTTCAAAACTGAGCTAGTGCTGCACAATTTTTGAACTTCGCGTGCACAGCCATGAACCAGTTCTGATTGGTGTAGGTGAATTGAACGGACCAATTGTGCTAGTTCCACCTGCTCCCAGGAGCACTACTAGACACATTGTGGTGGTTCCACACCCCATTTACTGCTCTTACATTACCAGCCAAAATAATAATTATAATATCTGGGGTTTAACATCTTAAAACCACCGTGTGATTATTAGGGACGCTGTAGTGGAGGGCTCCGCAAATTTTGACCACCTGGTGTTCGTTGACCTTCACGTAAATCTGAGTACACGAGCCTCGAGCATTTTCTCCGTATAAAACGCAGCCGCCGTGGCCGGGATTCGATCCCACGACCTGCAGGTCAGCAGTCGACCACTAGACCACTGTGGTGGGTAACCCAGTCAAAGTACTTTTGCACTTTTGAAACAGGGTGTAAGAACAGTTCAGCTGCTAATATTAAAATGCTGGCATTACTGCTTGTATGTACAGTACATATTTTGGTACAGGGATGCATGTTCGTCTCCAGAATGTAGGCCTTTATTGCACGAAAAACAGTATCAATATGGAGTGTAGTGTTGATCGCATCTGTACTTCGGTGTAAACAGCAAAGTTATTCTGAAGCAATGAGTTCGACACAATTTCAAGTATATATTTATTCCGAAACACTGTGCGCAACTGCACTGCGACCATAAATGACTGAGATTTCTCGAGTGTGTCTTCCTGTAAGTAGCTGTATTCTGAGTTTCTTGCACTTTGGCTAGAGTAGGGCTAACAAAACAGCAAGCACTGCTAGCAGGTCTTAAAAGAGTCCCGTAAATTTATGCTAATACGCAAGCTTTCGAATGTCTTGCATATCATATGCTGCTCCATTACACCGTTGTACATTCTCACTGCACAGATTACTATTTTGTCACTCTTCAGTAATTTCTACAAATATATCGTTTGAACTCTCTCCTCTTAATATCCGTTATTTACTGTGCATTTGTCTGCTGTGCCTACTCAGGTGTACTCCTTTCTCTTCAAAAAAAAAAAAAAACGAAATATTCATTTTGTTTTTAGAGATAATCTTTACTTCAACACCATATCTTTTACCCACCTGGTATGGAGGGCACGTGCAGTACTTATTAATTCACAGAAAGGCATCGAGGGAAGATAACAGAATCTTATTAGCTAGTGGCATATCTGTCAAGTTGGAGGCATAGTCTCTGTTTCGGGCTGATGCACTGACCACATGGTAACACGCATATCTCCCTTTATGTGAATGAACAAGGGCTTATGTATTTGCCGGGTACTTTGTCCACAATATTTGGACATTTGACCGCGCAGACTATCCCGACTGTTGACTCTATTCATGGCCAATTATTTCGTATTAAGAGAGAGAGAAAGATAAAAACTATTGAAAAATGAGAATTTCGCCAGTGTATGTTAGGTGCCCACATGGTACTCTGTGTAGAGGAGGCAGTGATACACACCTGTCGGAGACAGAGCTTTTCCATTTGCATGAGTAAATCAAGTGCGTCCTAAAGAATTCTGACCTTAATCTTGTTGCACATTATGTAATCTGCCACAAATATGAACAGGAGAAGCATTTTATGGAAGCGTTACCAATATTTTGATTATATTCCTACTTGTGAACTCACTGCACTGTCAATACGTTACGTTATATGGCCTGTACTGTGTGATTGTTGCCTGTGTTTTCTATCGGCTTAGCCAATCACAAATAAGTGGACTAGCTTCCACTCTTTCCCAGCATGCACCAGTTTGTTTTTGTCCACAATAAGCAGATAGCAGCAAATGGCTTATTGCCTTGTTGCAGCATGAAGTGCAATTTTGCTGTTGATACATATTTGTTCTCAAAACAGCTCCATGCACACATAAAGTATGAATCGAGATTGTCTCTGTAAATTTATCTATCAGTCTTGGAAAAAAACCACCGCTCAAGCACTTTGTAACCAGCGATGTGAAAATGTGCAGCCTCAATGTTTACCACTGGGTTAATCACGACTGTTCATTAATGTATTTCTCAATTAATAATTGCCTCTGGCCAGAAATCATAATTGGTGTGTGCCACCTGTGTCTCTTGTTCATTTTTAGTGGGTCAGTGTTGAGTAGAAGAGTTGATATCTGGGCCAGTTGTTTCATTTTACCTGGAGAAAAGCCAGCGAAAGCACGGGGCACAAGCCGTGTGTGCCTTTGCTTCTTTCTCGTGTCCTGTGCTTTTGCTGGCTTTTCTCCAAGCAATAGGGTTGAGTAGTAATAGGGCTAGTCCCTAATTTCTTTTTCAACCCAATTTCTTTTGTTTATTAAAAATGATTCTTTTTTCTATATCTTAAATAGTTTATAGAAGCTACACAATTCTTGCCTACTCCCCCATGTTGGGTGTGTGCAAAAATTCTATTATCTAAGTAGGACATATTTTGGTTTCGCTCAACCATACACAACTTCGCGCTAACGAATTAGTTTACACGGAACTGGCAGCTGTTAGAATTGCGCTTTGGCCATTTTAGCGCGCTTCTGTTTGATTCACGTTTTCAAGGTCAAGCGCACTGCCGAGAAGCGAACTCGACTATCAAATATGTGGAGGTTCGCTATCCACCGTGTACTACGTTGGCGCGTGAACAACGTACCGCAACGTTCTCGACTATAGTGTACGTCAGAAGTGTACGTCAGAAACTCCCAATTGGCGCTTGGTCTCGCAGAGTCGCAGGCCACCTATCAGCTGCGCGCTTGCGCCGCCGCCAGCATCTGCCTGCGCGGCGCGTCCGGCAACACTGGCTGTTGCTGCCTTGGGAGGTATCGGCAGCGCGTCGGGTCGCTTGCCCTGGCTCCGCTCGGGTGCCCCACTGAACATTCACCTGCCGCTCGAGGACAGCCTGTCCGAGATCGCGCGTCCGATCTGCCGCACGCAAGGTCGGCTCGCATGCTCGGGGCCTGAATTCCGCCGAACGCCATCCATGGCCTACCAAGAGCCAACAACGCGGAACCTCAATGGCGGTGCGTCCAACGGTGTTTCGAGCAGCCTACTGACGCAGCCGTCGTCCTACCTGTCGGGCGGCGGCTACGCGGCACCGCTGTCAGTGAACCGCGCTCCCGCCGATGCTCAGTCGTCGCTCAGCAACGGGCCGTCGTCCGCGGCTGCCGTAGACTCGCGCTTCCCAGCCACCCATCCGCTGAGCGGCTCCAAGCACCTCTGCTCCATCTGCGGCGATCGGGCATCTGGCAAGCACTACGGCGTCTACAGCTGCGAAGGCTGCAAGGGCTTCTTCAAGCGCACCGTGCGCAAGGACCTCACTTACGCCTGTCGAGAGGAACGGCGCTGCGTGGTGGACAAGAGGCAGCGCAACCGCTGCCAGTACTGCCGTTACCAGAAATGCCTCGCGTGCGGCATGAAGCGCGAGGCCGTCCAGGAGGAGCGGCAGCGGGCCAAGGACCGCAACGACAACGAGGTTGAAAGCACCAGCGGTGGCGGCAGCGTCTGCATTGGCGGCGCAGGGCCCGGCTCTCCGGATATGCCGCTGGACCGCATCCTCGAAGCCGAGATGCGAGTCGACCAGCCGGCGCCGTCTGTGCCGTCCGCCGACGCGTCGAGCCGCGATCCCGTCAACAGTATGTGTCAGGCGGCCGACCGGCAGCTTCACGAGCTGGTGCAGTGGGCCCGACGGATTCCGCACTTCGAGGAGCTACCCGTCGAAGATCGCACGGCCCTGCTAAAGGCCGGCTGGAACGAGCTGCTTATCGCCGCCTTCTCTCACCGCTCCATGAACGCGCGCGACGGCATAGTTCTCGCCACGGGCCTGGTAGTGCAGCGGCACAGCGCGCACAGCGCTGGCGTGGGCGACATCTTCGACCGTGTGCTGGCCGAGCTTGTCGCCAAGATGCGTGATATGAAGATGGACAAGACCGAACTGGGCTGCCTGCGCGCCGTGGTGCTCTTCAATCCGGACGCCAAGGGATTGAAGAGCACGGAGAGAGTCGAAACGCTCCGTGAGAAGGTGTACGCTGCCCTCGAGGAGCATTGCAAGCGCCACCATCCGGACCAGCCGGGCCGCTTTGGTAAGCTTCTACTGCGGCTGCCCGCCTTGCGCAGCATCGGCCTCAAAGTGCCTCGAGCACCTGTTCTTCTTCAAGCTCATCGGAGACACTCCCATCGATGTTTTTCTGCAAAACGTGCTCCAGACACCCCCCAATCCCTAGCCGTCAATCTTGAAAGGGCTGCTGCAGTCGTAAAGTTTGCGACTGCAACATCGCGATTGATACGTTACACATCTGCAATTTCACCATTTCAGTTGTGACGTTCGCAGACTTGAGTCACCCGAAAAATTCTTTGTGCGATGCTTTCGACCCCAGTGTGCCAGCCGAAATGCATTTGTTGCTTTTGCACATGGCAGCATCCCGGTAAATCTTTACGTCATTTTGAGTGCTATTTTTGAGGGCGAGTGAACAGCAGTTCGTTGGGTGTCCCCACTTGAGCTGGTCCTGTAGCTTGTTCAAGGTTTGCTCGAAATGTGTGAAGCACAGATGAGTGTACGAAGCTTGTATGGCAGAGCTCCTTGTTTGCAGGTTTTAGTGTTGAGTGATAGAGGATCACTACCGTACGAGCTTCTGATTAGAGCACCTTGGAAACATGTTCAGGTTCCTCTGCCACATGCCTTTCGCCACCCTTACTGATACGTAACAGTGTTACTGGCCATCTTGCCAAGAACTGTGTTCTGGATTCTTCGCCATTATTATCCAGCATATGTTTGTAGATGTGGTGTATCTATGTCTGAACGTATTTAATGTGTTTGTTTCTCACGGACCTTTTTTACGCTCCGTGATGAGGCGTGCAAGTATAAAATGAAATATGACACAGGTTTGCAGTGCATTTTCTGCAGGTCGGTAACTTTAAATGTTATAAGCATCTATTTCTCATCACCTCATATCAATGGTGGCGTAACGGAACTGTGCATGGAGAGAAGCCAGCCCTACTTTTTTGTCTCTACTGCATTGCCACTCTAGGCCATATGTCATTGTGTTTGTTATCTTTTGATAACTAATGGGCCTTTGCTTTTGTGGAATATGCAGAAAATTGAAACTAGCTATTACTTATTGTCCAAGACAACAGTGGTTAGCATGCTTCTTTATAATGCAGTGAGGAATGTTATTGACATAGCTCTTTATGCGCTAAAGTTCATTTGTTTCGTGTTTGTCTTCATATATGTGTCAGATTTGCCAGGCGGCTGCCGTTTTGTAATTGTGCGTTTTCACCGTCTACCACTGAGTGCTAGTGAAGGCCCCGTTTATGGGGACATACTAAGTTAACAACTCTTATGAAATGTCCACGAGCTATATCTTTAGCTCAGCTAAGCTGCTAATTCCTAAGTTCTAACTGGCCCTTAGTGTTTGTTCATCGAGCCTTGTCGAGAGCTCTTGTCTTTTGTATGCTGTCCATTGAGCATCAAGGCATTTAACAATGCAAGATAACCCTTGTAATAAGCCTAAAGGCTTTTTAACTGATGCACTGTTATATTACATGAGTCACTTCATGTGTCCAAAAAAAATATTTAGTGGCGATCGTGAAGATTATTTTGCAAGATTTAATTTAAGTAGTTCATAACGCAGGATTGTCATTTAACACTCATGAAATATGCTGTGCTCGTGGTTCATGAATATTTAGGGCGATTTCGACACGGCATTCAGACTGTAGATGAGCTGAGTGTAAATGAGTTTTTTTAGAAAGGGGCTTTTAATGGGAGCTTTAAAAAGATACCGGTAATGAGGGAACATAAAATTTCTTGCCGAGAACAGTGTAACCTTGTTCACGCTTTGGTTATGTTCGGAAAACAGCCGTAGTACATGTTTATGAAAGCTGCAGCCATTGAGCGGGAGCTTTGTCTAGACATATTTGCATTAAGAAAAGCCCCAGATGCGTAATCAAATGCCAAAATTGACCGTCTGTGTCAACATGGGTGACGAATAAATGGCAAGATGACGTCACAATATCATGTTTTTATGATGTGACAGATCAATAAAATCGACGTCAGCTGGACGTCATTGTGCGACCCCGTCACTTTGTCAGAGGCGGTGGGCCAATCACAAAGGCAGTGCAAAATCAGGTAAAGTCCAGAAAACTTGCAATGATTCTGCCTTCAGAGGCAGTGCTGAACCACTTCAGGTGCAGAAAGTTATTGGAGGGGTGTGGGGAGCCTTGGGAAAATAGCAGAGAAGGATAAATATATTGACCTGGAAAAAAAGAAGCTGGCTTTGGCATTTGACTCGTATTAGGCGAATACATAAGGCACCCCCTGAGATTTTTTGTTGGAATTGGTGTATTATTTTTACCGTGTTGACACCTTTGTATGAATGGGTTTTTGAAAATGCTTTTACAATTGTTAATAATTGACTTGTTATGTGCTTGTTATCTTATCCGTTCAAAACGGAGTCTTTTAGGCAATTCAGTTCTATAAGAATTGCTAAAGTGGTGGGATATTTGTGGTTATGTGCTCATTATCTTATCCGTTGAAAACGGAGGCTTTTTGGGCAATTCAGTTCTGTAAGCATTGCTAACGTAGAGAGATATTCGTGGTTATGCGCTTGTTATCTTATCCGTTCAAAACGGAGGCCTTTTTAGGAATTTAGTTCTGTATGAATTGGTCGAGTCGAGGGACAGTCTTGAAGTGAAAAAAGAGACTGACCTCCTTACAACACCATAGCCCCATAAAGGAAACCATATCTATGATCATCGCCCTTGTGCTGTGGCAACTACCATCCAAGTTGCTCAGAGCATAGTCACATAACTGAGCCAAATTAGTTAGCAGCTATAAGCGCAAGCATACGCACAGTGTTCACCGTCTCTCACAGTGCTCATCTTTCATTACATATCAATGGGATCTGTTGTGTGTTTTCTCTTTATGATATTGCTGGGCGGAATTTTTTTTTAAATTTCTATTGCGATGACACTTCTGAAACTACACTGGCTTGAGAATTATTGTCCTAAGAAAGTATGTTTTGTTGCCTGTTGACGTTGGGGCTGGTGAGACACATATTGGCACCCTATCTGGAAATGCGAGCACTGTGCATTTGGCAACACAATAGTCTTCTGTGGGCAGTTTTCGGGCTTCAACCCACGTATCTACCTAAGGCACTTGTTCAAAACATATTCAACTTTTTTTTTTTTTGATCTTGGCTGCCCACGACTCAGTGCAATGATCATTGCATATCTCAAAGCAAGTGAGCATTTTACTTCTTATTTACTGCACCATACTGTTTCTGAGTCTTTCTGCTGTGTAGCCGCTTGTCCTGACAGCAATGACGTTTAAACGTCAGTGTTGTCATTTGTTGTTGTAATGGTCATGGAGATCACAAGAGACCCCGCCCCGGTAGTCTAGTGGCTAACGTACTCGGCTGATGACCCGCAGGTCGCGGGATCGAATGCCAGCTGTGGCGGCCGCATTTTCGATGGAGGCAAAATGCTGTAGGCCCGTGTGCTCAGATTTGGGTGCACGTTAAAGAACCCCAGGTGGTTCAAATTTCCGGAGCCCTCCACTACGGCGTCTCTCATAATCATATGGTGGTTTTGGAGTGTTAAATCCTACGTATCAATCAATCAGAGATCATAGGAGTTCTTTTGCTCACTCCAAACTTAAAGGGACGCTAAAGTCAAATAACAATTTACGTCGGAGTGAAAGCTCAATGTATGACAACATCTAAAACGACAATATTATCAACAATTGTGCCCTACTTGTCAGAGAAATTAAGGCAAATGTACAATAACACATGCGCCCAGTAGGACATTTTCAAAATGATCCCGATGGCATCAGACGGACCGCCTACAATTAATCACTAGTAGTCAATCTAGCTGCACTAAATAAAGAACCTTCCGTGCATCAAGAGACACAATAAAATGCTGCTTGTTCGTTTCTGTTTCATTCGTGGCAAAAATAACTGCCGGACGTAACTATGGGGAAAGGCGCGAGTGGTTCAAAAGTTCAAAAGTTCAATTTTCGCGTGGTTACACCGGACATGTACCATCTAGCAGGGCACAGTTGAACAAAAAAACATCTGCAATCTCGTAGCCAATGGTGAGAAACTGGTCAATTGCTGTTGTTGCTGCTTTTGGTCTGCTGATACTAGCGCAGTAAATTCGGGCAACGTTGTGTATGGAAACAGTGACGCGATTCGGTCCGGTTGGTCCGCTTCTTGAGGCGGGTAATTTGAAGTGTGCTAACCCGATGTGGACCACTAATACGTGATTTTATTTCAAAATAGGCCCTTCCTTGGCACAAAAGTAACACCATGAGGTTTCTGGACCACTATTTCAATAATCAATGTGCACTTAATGGTTGCCTTAGTGTCCCTTTGAGAGCCCTTCAGTATTAATTTGAGAGCAATCTTAGTTCGGCCGTATTTTGCAGGCAAGAAAGAACAGTTCGATTATCTTTACATTAGTTCTAAGCAATGAAACTTCAGCATGCTCAAGTCCAAATCATGCAAATGTAATGTAAATAGAGGACACCTATGTTCATCTGCTGCAGAGGGGGATGGGCAATGTTTGATCCATCATATTCTTTACCATCACTATAGCTAACGTGGTGGTTGATTTTGAAACAAAAGAAATACACCTGCTGTGCATTGAGTGCAGTGGGAATCGGCTGGCACTATTGGTTGAGATACGGTCAATTTCATTTTTGTATAAGGCATACCTGTTAGCTGGGCCCTTTCATGCTGAGAACATCTTGTAACAGCGTGCTTTGTCGGTAAGATGACGGTGATTTGTGTGTGTCTCAAGAATGCTTGCAGATTGAGACATTCTTTGCTCTCTGTAGTCATTTAGTATGCATTTAGTATACATTTAGCATACTTTTGGGCTGTTCCACTATGGATGTACTTTGCATCGAGAGGCTTTTTCGATGAAATTACCAGCAAAGTGTAATGAATATACGAGATACGCTATTTTATTTCTAACCTGCTTATGCATAATACTTTTCTGTCGTTGTTGGATTGTTCATGTGCTTGTTATTGTTAAATTATGTGCCGCTCAACACTCTGCCGCTCAACATTATGTGTTGTCAGGAAAAGAAGTGAAGAAAACTGTTTTCAAGTCGGGCTGCTGAAGCTGCTTTTTATTTGTGAAAGTGTATGTACACCGTCCCAATTTCCTAATCTTAACAAATGTCGACCGGCGTGCCGATAAGTGCCGTTTAATGGTGTGCATTGGCGAAATAAGCGAGAATACGCACATGTGCGCAATGAGCAGTTCTGTGTAGCTTTCTTTTGGGCTGTTCCAGGAGCTGGACGCCACCGTCTTTGCTTT